GGTTCAAGCTAATATACAGTATACAAACAACTAGGCAGGTTCATCTAAGCATTCGAGAATATTTACCAGCTTTATACAGTCAGGGTGAAATCAAATGCGTAAAAAATTTCACTTCTGTCACACTTGGTGTATACAAAACATAACAGTGACACTAATACTGCCTTCAGGGTTATAAAACACATTCTGAAGTCAGTAGCATGCGCTGTTCGCCTACATCTTCTGTTTACAGAGCTGAAGCTGTTGTAGTAGGATTAACTAAACCGGAACTAGGTATTCAAAAAGAACATATTCAGGAGCTGTTCTAATCGTGGCCAAACCTGGATTCTTCTCTATTTCAGTCCTGCCTTTTCTTCTCTCATCTCTTGTTCTTTTGCTTTGTTTATTATTTTTCTTTCCGTTTATCTTCGTCCTTACAGATTTAGGCACAATGTTTGATGTGGTAAATCCTTCATTCTAGTATTCTTTCAGTGATATCGAATTTTCTATTTACACAACATGAACTTATTTTTAGTGACATTAATCAGAAGAACTAATACAGGGAATTTAAGAACACAAGTATATAGAAAATCAACACACACAGGTTAAATACTCAACTATAGCGATAATCCAGTTACTCACAAACGAAACTGTGTGCAGACATTGTTTAAAAGAGTTCAGACACATTGTAGCACTCCAGAGTTGAAAAGAATGGAAGAAAAGTACCTACAAACGGTCTTCAAAAAGAATGTTTATCCACAAATTTCATCAAAAAAGTGTTTAAAGTCGAATCGAAACACCAACAAGAAACCATCATCAAAGACCACAAGAAGATTCATCCTACCATACATGAGAAATATCTCTGAAATAACAGCTAGAATACTGAAACCGTTTGAAATAGATATAACACACAGGCCAGTCAAATCGCCTAATTTGATATTATGCAAACCAAAAGATCCAACACAAAAAGGAGATAAAATTAATACCATTTACAAAATAAATTATATGAACTGTAACAGGCATTACATCGGTCAAAGTGGGCGTCCCCTTTGAATTAGAATCCAAGAACATGAATCAGCCATGAAAAGACACGATATATATTCTTTAGTATCAATGTATATAGATAATTATGGATATCAGTTTGATTGGGATCATGTCAAAATCTTAGATAGAGGAAACACCAAAAGCGCCAGGGAATTCCTAGATGCCTGGTACTCAAACGAAAATGCAATTAAAAAACACGTTAATATAGACGAAATATACCAACTAATAAAAAGTAAATCAGGTGACGAGAAAGTTTAAAATTCAAGTCAATAGAAAATGATCATTACATATGTATAGATAGTTACCAGGAGACGCAATTATATCACTCATGAAGAAATTTAAATCATTTCACTTTGTGCAAAATATGGCGCTAAAGATGTTGTCCAGAAGGACGACGAAAGCTTCGCAACTAAACCAACCAGCTCAGAGAACACTATTAATTGCAAATCGTCCACCTGAGCTACATATCTTCTCTATTTTAGGAAATCTTCGGCGTGAAAATAATTATCTCAACTCAGAACAAATGAGCGCCACTGCTATTGAAACCTGGAAAAACCCAAGTTTGAAGTCCTATGTTCCACTGGGAAAGTAAAGGAATAGAATAACTAAAATAACTAATAGTTATGGAATACAAACCTCTAGATTAGGAATCACAGCTTATGTGTATATAGAATATATGATACATAGAAAGAAGTACAAAGACGTGTTTGTCACATGAGATACGTCTGTATAAACTACAACAAATCGATAAATCTTATTTTTTAAAATAAAATGTGTCACACTAATTAACTAACCAAAGTACAAATATATATATCAGGTAAATAACTGCAAAAAATGTCTCCATTACTTTGGAATAATACTATTTTTTGATCATACAGAATAATAAAAGTAACAATATGAACAATTCAGGTAAGTATAGTTGTACCTGATTTAATGATATGTAAGTGGAATACCTACCAACTTAGTGAATAATTTACTATGTATTTGAAAGCCAATGAATGCTGTTTCACTCAACAGAATGGGTACAAAATCTTCTAAGAACGATAGTTAATACATAGATTTAATGAGTAATGGTGTAGGTTAGAATAAACCTGCATTTTAGTGGTTATTGATAAGCTTAGTTGTATGTATGTTCAGAGTTTCTTGTTGATTGTTTTAAATTGTATGTTAGTGATCACGGTCATTTCTTTATTCCTTTACATTCCCAGTGGAACATAGGGCTAAAAGCTAGATACTTGAAGTTTCGGTGGCAGTGGTTTTTATTTTTACACTGTGGAGTTGCTAGCCTCATGCTCAACCTTCCCTCTTTACCAGTCTTATTACTCGCATAGCGAGGTAAACGAGTGCATCAGGGGCCGGCGATTGAACCTCGGAACACGTGAGGCATGGTTAGCTACCATTCTACCGCCGTGTCACTGACGCACTTGTAAGGATATGGTTTAATTTAATTCCCATTGTTAGATTTCACCATAAGCCTACATCAGTAAGAGGGTTCATTGAAAACCAATGAGTTCTAGATATACATTTCTTCCTAGTCTGAAACTCTCCATCGTTGTACACTCACGATCCAACCAGGGATTGGAACCAGGAATTACAGCTAACAAGAACAAAACTCGTTGAAAATTCAGACACTTAGGCCTGGAATTAATGACTCGTGATACTACACTGCCCTAACAAACACGTTCAATGAGCATCCACTCCATACTGAAGCTGTAGTGAGGTGTCATGACTAATGGAGCCTACCATGTCAAGGTAAAGTAAACATTCATAGAAGTCATTGGACAGGGTAACGCTGTCATGAGCTGAAAAAATTAGCATCCACGGCTCACTGAATTTCTTCCCAATTGGCTGAATATTCAACAAGGTTGGTCTCATAAAGTGTAGGTACAAGTTTCAACCCCTAGTTGGATCGTGAGTGCACACCGATGAAGAGTCCCAGAAAGAGGACGAAACAACTATCCAGTGTTCTGTGGTTTTCACTGCTCTCTCCTTCTATCTGATGTTGGTTAGTTACAGAATTTAAAAATGAAGGAGTACTGAATGAAATAATGCAGTCACCATTAAGAAGTATGGAACATAACATTTATTAATTTTTGATGACTGTTAGGTGTTAATATAACTGTCTGAGACTTGGAGTGTGTGGGTAATGAAAAGCATCTCCGACAGGATCCTGAAAACTTTCACCAACAGCTGCCTTTACTCAGCACTGAAGATCATATGGTCGTCTAGAAAGGTTTAGCAACAAGAAAATCCGGGAACGAACCAACCAACAACTTATCGTCAAACAAATATGCTGAGAGAAATGGAGATTTTGGGTGATATTGTGCGAAAAAACTATCATTCCAGTGGAACCTAAATGGGAACCGACTGGCTGGCCATTTATCCGGGCGTGACATGGAGGAGATAGTGTGAAGAGGAAATGAAAGCCTGTGAGCAGTCATGGAGCTTTCAATGTATGACTACAAAGGACAGACTGAAATGATGGTGTGCAGCTGAAGTCATTAGGGATTTAGGGGAATAATGACAATACAATGATTGCAGCAATAAAGCATATCAGAAGCGACCCAAATAGTTCACTGATAAAGTATCTGAATATAGTACTCAATGATGTGGGTTCGAAGTGCAGAGAAGGCATTGTTTCCTTGAAGTTCAGAAATACGTCCTGGCGGTGAGTGATAAAAAGCATGAAAGTTAAATTCAGGTCTTCCTGTCGACACACTTTAAATATGTAATATTACTAGTCTGTTAAATTTCAGTTATTACCTGATTTTACCAATGAAAACAAAAAGCAGTTGTACAGTTCTACAGAATTTTCAAGTATTTTTTCTATAGTTTGGTTTGTACGGGTCAGTTTTGATTTTACGAGTTGATCATGGATTGATATCAGTTAGAGAACCATTAAAAACCAGTTTGGGAATCATCGTGATTTAGCGCGATGGATGTCCCACTGACGACATTGGTTGGGGTCACTCTAAATCACGAATCGGTAGCAGTTAGAATTCATTAGCTAGCCAGTGAATCGGGTCCCAGTAGCTGAATGGTATACGAGCTCGCCTTGTAACCGGAAGGTCCTGGGTCCGAACGCTGGCAGTGGATGCTTACTGCCGATGATTCTCAAACTAGTGGGATGAAACAGCTGTCCAGCACTCCGTGGTTTTCAATGGTTCTCTAACTGATATCAACCCGTGATCAACTCGTAAAAGAATTTTCAAGGTGAATAACAGCTTATTAACTTGGAATAAGTCCTGAGTTATCTTTAACATGTCAGGATTTATTCTACTCATCTCAAATTGACATTCACTAACTGCTTCAATTTGCCTGTTATTTCATTTGATTCAGTCATTTTTCTAATTAAGTATGGAGGCTGTGAATGAACAAGACATCTCATGTGTTCGGTTGATAAAATAAGGAATTGTTACTTAGTTGGAAGCAATCGTTAGGAAGACCTGAACCTAGGTTTCGTGATTGTTGAAACCCATCAGGGAAGCATATCTGCAGTCTCGATGGAACTCATATCCCTTCTGAGATTTGAATATGTATCGTTCATTGGTACAGTCGGAGCTATTCACGCCCACAGCTGACCTCCTGAAGGACTATAATGGATACTACTTTAATTTTTTTTTATTCCTTCACGTTCCCAGTGGAACATAGGTCTTCAGGCTACAGGCTTGAAGTATCTGTAGCTGTGTTTATTTTACAGGATGGTGTTGCTAGCCTCATACCCAACATCTCCCCTTCACCGGCTTTAGTTCTGGTTTAGCGAGGTAAAGGGGTACCCGGCCGGGGATCAAACCTCGGACCATGTGCAAGGTCGGTGAGCGTCCTAACCGCTATGCCACCGACGCACTTTAATTGAACACTAGATATTAACAAATGTTATGTGTTCAGTCCTTGGTGATTTACATATATAATAAATATCCCCTTACTTCGGTTTTAGCCCTCATCTGTTTATTCATTTACAACCTGAAGTATGCTACAAGATGACTTCAATTCCTAGAAATCTTCCATTATCAATATTAGAAGAGTTATCAATGCTATTCAGTGATTATTTTGTTCAAAATATTAAAGTGGACGATAGATATCAGTTGTTGAATCAAATCCAATGGAGTCGGTATTTAACAGCTAGTAAAGATGAGCTAATGCATTATCCTTTATTTCCAACATTTATTACACCTGATCGCGTATTCTCTGAAAGCCATGATATATGGAAAGATATTCTATTACAATGGGAGAATGCACTGTCGACAACACGACAAGAATTAATCAGTCAATTGTTAGAACAATTGTATGCCAGTCCACTGTTTCACAGTGTTTATGAACGTCTTCAGTCATATGATATATTTTCAGAGAATATTGAAACATTTCGCAGATACTTTCGTCAAATATGGTTTGGACAGTATACATGGGATCAAATGACGCCGACATCATCTACCCCGAGGACATGTGGATTTCAGCATGTTTATATCGGTGAAAAACATGGTTCAAAAATTAAAGGTTTACATTATTGGAAACGTTATTATATATTAGAGAAAACTGGACGTCTGCTACTTGAAAAGATACATAAAATTCATCCACACCTGCATATATCATCATTACGATTTCAAGTAGACAATGCTGTAAAACCTTATGGTACTATATTTTTTGGTTTACCTATGGACTTTGAAATGTTAATTTTCTTTTGTGCTTTCTTAGTTGGTGTAAATCGTGAAGTATCATTTTTTATTGATGGTTCTCAAACGACTGTAGTGTGTTATGATGTGGCTACACAGAGTGATGCATTAGCTACAGCATTTTTTAAATATTAGATAAAAACAGACTTCATAAATGTCTTCTAATAACTTATTATTTCTTTTTCAGAATTGGAGACAATTTGAAAAATATTAAAGCATTATTTCATTCAGAGGGCTTCTAACGGATATTCTTTTGTAAGAATGCTTTTATTAATATTAGATAGTTGGAAGCAATCGGCCACAGGAAGCCTTAGACCTAGGTTTCGTGCTAGTTGGCACTCCCCGGTCAGCAAGGTGCATCTGCAACCAGCTTGAAGGAACTCATGTCCCTCATCTGAGATTCGAACCAGCGTCACTCGCGCCTCGAACTATCTAATATCATCAAATCAATGTGCACCATGATGGTGAGCTACATAGAATGGTGGCCACATTGCAAACCTGACTGATAGAATTCAGTCTGCACCAAAGAAAGGACTAGGCACGTCACACTGTTTACTAGTGTCCAATCAAAATGTTTTTAATAAGTCAGATGTCATTATCTTTAATAGTAGATACAAGTGAAGAAGAAGATTTTTGTAGCTCAGGTGGATGATATTGAATTATTTGTGTTCTCTGAGCTGGTCTATTTATAATTGCGAAGCTTTCGTCGTCCACCTTCTAGACAACACCTCCCTTCAGCGCAGGTTTTAATATAAAAAACCTGTTCTGAAGATGTTGTCTAGAAGGTAGGCTGCGAAAGCTTCGCAGTTAAATCGACCAGCTCAGAGAATATAACTGATTCAATGGGAGAAAACACTGTTGACGATGTCTTTCTTCGATTTGTTGAACTCTCTACATCCACTGAATTTGACCAATATAATCAATGAAACATTAGCTGTCGAGTTAGCCTATTTCAACTAATTATGATTATTATACGTCTTCTCCTTGAACTGGTGTGTTTCTGTCAGCTGTGATAAAAGCTGTTAGACATCTGAGGTGCGCAGTAGACTAGATAATGCGACAAACAGCGGGCAATGAGGAAACAGGCATAAAATGAACTCACACAAAACACTTGGAGGATCTGGACTTCGCCGATGATACATGTTTGATTTCCCAAAAAATGGAAAATATGCAAGCGAAAAGCAACAAGTTGACAGAAGAAGCATCAGAGATAAGAAGGACTTCAGGTGAACATACAGAAAACAGAGGTGATGAAGATTCCTGGACAACAACAAAAACAGACAGACAACAATCAGCATAAATGGGAGGAACCTGAAAGAAACAACCTCCTTCACCCACCTGGGGAGCATCGTTTCAACTACAGGCGGATGGGACTGACGAGGATATCAAAGCAAGAATCGGAAAAGCAAGACAAGCTTTCACTACTCTCAAGTCTGTGTGGAGGTCAACAGCACTCAGCATCAAAAATACGATCCGGATTTTCAACTCCAATGTGAAGTCAGTGCTACAATACGGATCAGAGACTTGGCCAGCGCGTCATAAAGAGCATCTCAAACAAACTACAGACCTTCATTAACAGTTGTCTTCGCTCAATACTCAAGATCAGATGGCTGGTCAGAAAAGATCAGCAACAGGGAACTCTGGGAGCGAACCAACACAGCAGGAACCGATTGTGAAACATATAGGCAGGAAGAAATGGAGGTGGATTGGCCATACTCTGAGGAAACAATGCATCAAGTGACATCACTAGACAAGCCATTGCTCGAGTGGAACCCGAAAGGGAAGCGTTGAGTTGGTCGTCAGTGCAAGGGTGACTTGGAAGAGGTCATGTGGAGAGGAGATGAAAAAGTGTGGGCAGACTTGGAGCCAGGCGAAGACTCTAGCAGAGAACCGAATGCAATGGAGACGCGCGGCTGAAGCCCCATGTTCCTCTAGGAATTCAAAGAAACAATAATAATAATCTAAAGTGCGCACTTCATCTTGTTTGGAACTTGTAGGCCAGATGTAACCGCATACTAAGTGAATGCTGGTACCCTTATTGAGGCTGAAAACCGGCATCGAAAGTTTCAAACATCAAAGCACTATACAATAATTAGTCACGAGCCCGAATAGCTCACTGAATAACGTCTCTGGCTGTAGTAACGGGTGGTGCGGGTTCAAATCTCAGAAAGGATATGAATTCCTTGAAGACCGCAGATAAGCTCTAATGGCTGGCGAATGCTAACAAGCACAAATCCTAGATTTAGGACTTTCAGCCAACTGTCTTTGGTCATCTAACACAACAATTATTAATTGTTTGCGTCTATTCTAGTGTTGCAGGGAAATTAGTACATCGAAATAAATAGCCTCCAAAAGTCGGAAAGATCAGTCGTGGTTACTTTTCAATATCTTCCGAGTGTTTATTTCTAAAGGAATATCTTGTCCATTCAAAGATCTCTAGATTCTACGAATCAGCTTTGCGTCATCTCAGACGATCCACTGGATGTATTATCCAGAACGTCATACACTAACACTTTATCAACTTCTTGACTTCAAAAAGGATGGAATTAATTAAAATTACAAAATGAAATTCATATTTCATTCTCCTTTTTAGAAATAATAGATCACTGATAAGTTATCTGCTAGGTGGCTGATAAACGAAAAAAAAGCATCTTTGTTGATAGAAATGATAAAACACATCATTTTCTAAAAGGAAGTGTGAAAATAACTGATATGCTGTGGGCCAATCAGTTGTTAGATTCAAAATGGCCAAATATTTGAAAATTCGAAGTGAAAAGAGATGTCCAGTTTAAAAAATGACTTTCCAAAATCAGCAGTGAATCTCGTTGGTGCTGACCTATTTAAATTAGCTTGGAGGCTTTCACGAGTTATGCAAAGACCTCTGCTGTCCTGAAGACTTTTTCGAAAGACTATTTTGGTTTGCAAATTTCAGCAAAAATGTTACACATTTATTCTTTATTTGTAGAGTCAACTGTTATTTTCAAGAGTTAGTAATAAGAATTTCAATTTTGCTCATGGATTGATATCATTTAGAGAACTTTTTAAAACCCAGGAGGGACTGGATAGTTGTTTCGCCGTGGTTAGAGACTCTTCGTCAGCATGCAAACAACGGCGTTCTAACTCAAGAACTTGAGATTGTCAACAGACTCGTAGACTATTCAACCATCTGTACCATATGACATAACTCATGAATTCCGATTTCTATCAATTTGTGATTTTAACTGTCCAGTCCTTCCTGGATTTCAGTGATTGTCTAACTGGTGTCAATCCATGATCACACAGGGAATAAACCAAATCCCTGAAGAGTGATTCATGTAAATTAATCCGACACTGTAGCTACAGTCCTGCTGTGACCGGAGTTCTAGTGATAAACCTTGACTAGTGGGGTCCACTGGTGTGTGAGTGTGAGACTAAACGCTTGCTGATAACAGTGACTGATGTTTGCGCAATTTATCACAAATAGATAGAAGTAAGAATTAATAGGCCTTTAGATTCTTAGTGGCTGAATGGGTTTCCTGGGTTTTGACCCCAGTGAATGCGTACTACTGAGGAGTATCAAAACTAGATTCTCCAATTGATATAGATCAATGATCAAAGTTGAAACAACTGTTATTTCAAAAATAAAAAAGGCTTAAACATAATTTCAGTGTAAATGGTCTCTGACAAGCAAAACTATGTTTAACAAAGAAAATACTGTTTGTCATAAATGATAAATATTATTATTAATTATATTGGTGTAGTACTTTAATTGTAAATGGGGGATATTTTTGTGTCATTCTTCAAAAGAAGTCAGAATAGGACAAAAATTGGAACTATATGGAGTCAAAAAGTAGTCAGGTACTTCACGTTGAAAAGAGGTCGAGTGAAGAGGTAAAACTACTAATCATCCTTCACTTAGGATGATATTCAGAACCTTCACACTGTATTTTTTCCTGGCATTTAACTATTGTGACCATTACAAGACAGTTGAATGTTTCGTTGAACCAATCAGTTTGAATTGTTAAGTTATTCTCTCTTTCTACACATATCACATTTACAGATCAGTGAAAAATAAGGATCTGGAGGAGGTAGGCTGTGATGGAGATACTGTAAGATATATTATTATAGCTGTAATAGTTATGCTTCATTTCCTTAAGTCATTCAAGTTCTTAGTGGTTATCAATGAAGTTAGTTTTGATGCTATAATTTTGTCAGGTCTAGTAAAATACTTTCATCATGATAATTCGGAGTGGTTGAATTGATTGCTTACTAGAGGATAACCAATGTCGTGCATCTAGTTCCTGTTAATAGCGCATACTGAATTCTACCAGTCAAGTTTGTTAAATGACCATCAAGCTGTTTGACTGACCATCGTGATGCACTCTTAATGAATGTGAGATTATTGGAAGCAAACTGCAGAAAGCCTTAGACCAAAATTTCTTGCTTGTCAGGACTTTTCAGAAGAGCGTATCTACATTTTTGAGAGAACTCATGCAATTGCAGCTATATAAATATAGTCCCGTCGGTCGAATTCAATCATTCGAATGTGAATGGTGTTTAATTATAAATCCGACTACAATATAATGCGAAATTCCACAAGATTCGACTTTTTTAAAATGGTCAAGTAACGCCTTGTAAATAGTCTTCTGATTTTCCAGACAATAGGTAGTTTGCATGAGTCTCATAGAGAAAACCCTTGTTTTCACTTGGATGTACAGAAATTTATATCACAGAGAGGATGAAAACTTTATCTTGACTTTCATGATTAGTCACTAACTTGAACTTAATGAGCATAAAACCCTGTCCAGTGAAAAACAGTATGTTTGATGCCTATTCTCTCTTGCTGCAATCAATAATCAAAAGTTGGTGGCAATATAACGACGTTTTCCACCTTTCTGTTAACACACTAATGGCATTAAAATAAAAACTATTTTGTTATACAAACCTAGAAGGAAATACTAATCACCATAGAATCATCCTTTCAGGGGAAATAATTGATTTTCAAGCTTCACTTATTGGAATTACTACTGTCTAATCATTCTACAATTTCCTTGAATTATACTTGTAACAACAGAAGACAAGGGCCAGGCAACAGATCAGTTTTATTACGAAAACCAACAGGTATTTATATGTATTTTACGTACATTAATAAGGCTCTGCCCGCAGAAAGAAGGCAGTCTTCTGATTGGTTGTTTGCAAACAAACGCAGTCTTCTGCTTTCTCGTTTTCGATATTTCTAGGAAATGCGAGCCACTTGTCTGCGAATCATATTTGTCCACGTCTAGGTCAGCTGTGATCGATTGTTGAATCAGCCTAGATTAATTTCCACCAATCAGCGTAGATCAATGTCTACCAATTGGCTAGCAGCTTGCTCTCACCACATACTAACAAATAATCCTCTGAAAATTTTCTGTGGAATATTATCTTTGATTGGTTGAAAGGTTTCATTATGAGCTGACACAAGTAAGAGAGCCATTGGAAAACATACAGGGAGTGCTGGACAACTGTTTCGTCCTAGTTTAAAACTCTTCAAAGTACACAATCAGTGTGTCCTGGGTTCGAACCCCGCAGTGCAGGTGCGTACTGATGAAGTGCCCCAAACAAGGCTGATGAAACAACTGTCCAGTACTCCCTCCACGTTTCCCAGTAGTTCTCATGAGGAAATCCCCCAGCCATTCAGGAAAATCCCTACAAGATCAATACTTGGAAATTTGATCTTATTTGACGGATTGTGATTAGCAGTGAGGAATCAAGCACATGTACACTTGGTCTTATTTGGGACTCGTCACACTAGGATATCCTGACAATCCACAAAGAGTGACGGTGTACTCATTGAAACTGGAAAAATGGGAGATACGCAATTAATTCAAGAAGAAGTATATTATCTTCATTATTATTAGTGTATTATTATGATGAATTCCTTAGGTTCCAAGCAGAACATAGAGCTTGAACAGCACATCTCTGTTTGGTCCTGTTCTCTTCTAATCATCTTAAGCTGACTCCATGATTTTCCACTGGATCTCATCTTCTCCTCACACGATCTCCTCCATATCATCTTCGGCCTCACACCCTACTCGTCATTTTCCGTTCAGGTTTCACTCAAGGGTTTACCTGACACACAATGTTATTCAACGGTCTCGTCAACGTGTGTCCAATCCATCTCCCTTCTATTCGGTGTACTTTTTGGAAGATAGGTTCTTAGTTGGTTTGCCACCCAAGTTCCTCTCAGAAGACCACCTCTTCTAGGTCATCTGACGTTCAGCATGAAGCGAAGGAAGCAGCTTGTTGGGAATTATTTTGACGACATGCTAAATATACTATAATATATTAATTTGTGAACCATGCATATATATGTACATATTAAATTTTTTTTAATAGTTAGAAAACTCACTTCATTTCTCTTTCTGTACAAGTCCATGTGCCTGTTTTCCTAGCAATTTCATCACTACATCGATAATCATATAAAAATAATTCGCCTTTATTATTATTACTATGACCATGACTATTACCAGTCATACTGGCACCAGTCACAGTATGATAAACATGTTGACTATATGGTTCATATTTGCTGAATGCACTTGGTGTTACAGAACGTATTCCATATGGATCGTTGTACATAGGCATATGATTATCTATATTGTTATTGTTGTTGTTACTAATACTGGTATTAGGATAAGTATTGTAATTACAATTTGTACACTGTAAATCATCCAATGAATTCGGTGCATCCCAGTTGTAATAATCTTGTATTAAAGAACGTGGTCTCCTCGGCAGGACACGATTATTTTGTTTTTGATTAATCTTACGATAGACACCATTCGATTTGATATCAATGTAGTAATTATTATTATTTTATTTGAGTGATTATTTGCAGTAGTAGTAGAAGTAGTATCATCATATCCACTGGTGTGAAATGATGCCTGTGAATTATTCAAATGACCATTTATTCTCTCATATCCACCATTAGTTGATGCCTGCATACTATGCGTTAATGTCTCATCTGAAGCGTAAAGGCCTAAATGACTTGAAAAAACAGGGTAGAAATAGTAAAACAAATAATTAGAATACTTGATAAATCAAGGCATTTTTAATTAAAATCAACATTGTAGTATTAGTAGAAGTAAAATGTTATTATAGATTATAACACTTATAATAATAGCCTCATTCTGAGACCGATGTTAATAGGGTAAAGGAAAAGTTGTTTGGAAAATCTGTCACATTATTTATACTTATTTGTTTGTTTCAACTAAATTTGTAATTAGATTTGTAGCTCAGGTGGATGATTTTCATGTAGTTGTTTTCTCCGAGCTGTCTGGATGGTTTAGCTGTGAAGCTTTCATTACCCTACATCTACTAGGCAACATCTTCAGCGCATACTTCAATTTATTGAAGTGAACTTTTAGATTTTTCCTCGTGGGTGAACTTGAACGTGATTGATTGTTTTCGTGTGTTTTCACACCCTCTAGGCTACTTGTATTGGTACTGATTGTTTCCTTGACCTGAAATTTTACCCTTTGTGTGTGTGTGAGGTTTCTTTCTTATCAATTAGTAAATTTCGTCTATGTAGATGTGTCTATTGATTGACGATTTACTGGAATACCAGTCTTCTAATAGTTCTCTGGCATTCTTGGTGTTTCCTCTGTCTAATATTTCAATGTAATCCCTGTCGAATTGATGTCCGTAGTTATCTGTTTGCAGCGATATGAGGGAGTGAATGTCATGTCTTTTGACAGCTAGTTTATATTCATGGATATGAAGACGAAGAGGACTTCTACTTTGGCCGATTTACTGTTTTTCGCATTTGTTGCAACTTAGTTTGTAGATGATGTTGATCTTATCTTCTTTCGCTGCTGAGTCTTTTGGTTGGTTGAGTGAAGTGATTTTGTTGGTTTGTATGCGACGTCAATTCCTAATGGTTTGAAGAGTCTTGTAGTGATTTATGAGATGTCCTTTATATATGGTAGGGCGATTTTCTTTGTGCTTTTCTTTGGGGCCTTCTGATCTGGTAGGTCGATTTAAAGGGTATATGTCTTTTGATGAAATTCCATGGATATCCATTCTTTTGGAAGACGTCCATGAGATATCTCTCTTCAATTTTTCTCAAGGTGGAAGTTCTACAATGAGTCCCAGACCTTCTGAATAGTGTTTGCACACGACTCTTTTTGTGTGTTATTGGATTGTTGCTGTTGTAATCGAGTATGGCTGCATACAGACAATTACGGACATCAATTCGACTGAGACAACTTTCAAATATCAGACAGTGGAAACACCAAGAATTTCGGAAAATTCTTAGAAGCCTTGTATTCCAGTGAAATCATCAGTCAAAGTTCATTTCAGTCAAGGAAACAATCAGCGCCAATACAAGTACCCTAGAGGATGTGGAAACACACGAAAACAATCAATCACGCTCAAGGTCACCCACGGGGAGAGATGACTAATAAACTCGTGGAGAAATCTAAAAGCTCACTTCAACAAATTGATGTATGCGCTGAAGATGTTGCCTAGTTGGGGCAGTGCAATGTAGGCTTCGCGAATAAACCATCCAGCTAGCTTGGAGAACACAACTACATCAAAACTTTGTAATTATTATTCCTTTTTCTACCGTTTGCATATCACCTCTTGATTTGAACCTTATCATTTGTCTTTGTCACTGTCTGATGTGCAATTTTAATCCTTCTCTTTGCTATTGCGCAATACACTGATAATGTGTTGTTTTATGATGTGATTCTGTTTGAGTGAGTTAAGGTCATTCTGAACCTGAACTGTCTACTGGAAGCATTGGTGTGTGATTCTAGCGGACAGAGTTTTGCATTCCACCTTTTTGGAATATTCAGGTATCTATGAATATGAACTCTTAGTCGAACGTAATCCCTAGAAATCTGATACAAAAGTAGACACTGTTTACAGTGTTAATCAAAAGTAGACTAATATTTTTAATTCTGAGGTCAAATTTTGATCATAGTTTATGCAATTTTGTCTATTATATTTTGATGTCTGTTTCGTGATTCATATGATTGGACAAAGTTTTAAAGACAAGAGATGTCCTTTATACATATATATATATATATATCTTTGTTACTTTAATTTTTATTAATTTCCCTGAAGAAGTTCAGACCAGTTTGCCAAACGAAACGTTGGAATTAATCACATCCGTTTCACTGAGATTTTACCTATATAATTTTACATATGTTTGCATCTCACTAGGCGGCTAATTATTCTGAAAACATTCTCTCAAATCTCGATCACTGTTCATATGACGTACTACTTCGTAATCTATGGTTTTCTGTGGTTTTTCAAGTGATATTGTATCGTGACGTAATCTAACATAAATACTGAAATGAGTTTATCTGTTTTCACTATCTGCTTGTCTCTATTTCACTCAGTTTCTAATTTAATCTGAAGACTGCATGATCTATCCGTCATAAACAACACACTGGTGTCAAACACTTATATCCGTGTTGATCTGTTGGGCGGGGGATGGTGATTTTCATCCTTTTTGTGTTCCGAGTGGAAAACAGGACTTCAAGTTTTGGAGTTTCAGTGGTTGTGGTATTTTTTCTTTGCATTTTACATGATGGTTAACTAGGCAAGACTGCGTTGTATGTCGGCCTGGACTCGAACCTGGAACATGCGCTTAGCTCGAGAGCATTCTTCCATTAGACAACCAACGCCCTTTGGTGGCTTCATTTAGTGATATCGGGGAACTAAAGCCGCGTATGCTTCTTAATGAATGAGATGGGCAGTAAATAAATGTCACAAAGTTTCCAGACCGCAAATGTGACGAATTTTCTGGAAGAATTCGATCACCTAGTCAGATTGATTCATTATTAGATTTTTTAAAATAATTCCAGTGTGTTAAAGAAAAAATCAAAACAAGATTTTTATCAACATTTCACTGTGTAAGCCACAGCTTCTTCAGCAGAATTATTCGGATTTTTTACAGGATTTTCATCATGAGCTGACATTACTTAGAGAACCAGTGGAAAACCTGGGAGTACTGGACAGCTGTTTCGTCCTAGTTTGGGACTCTTCATCAGTACGCATCCACCGACAGGGTTCCAACCCAGGACCTACTGGTTACAATGCGAGATCGTATACCACCTTGCCACTGGGACCCGATCCAATGGCCCCTGAATTCTAACTTCTGCCAATTCACGATATACCGCAACCACTAGCCAATGTCTTCGGCGAGTATTTGTCCTCACACTCGACCTCCTGCACCCTACTGGTCACGACTTCTCACTAGAACCCCAGGTAACTACCTACCTGAATAGGGCAATTCGCTAGTGACCATCTCGGTTGGTGCGTACTGTTGAAGAATCCCAAACTAGGACGAAACAGCTGTCCAGTACTCCCAGGTTTTCCAATGGTTCTCTAACTAATGTCAGCTCATGATGAAAATCCTGTAACCAGTCAAATCCCTACAAACCAACACTTGAATATTCGGATTTTATTAACCATCAAAGTATATCGTCAAAAATTACATAAATTGAAGTCACTTCATTTGAATGTCACTTGTCGGTAGACATTTGTATTAGTAGAAAAGTGTAAACAGTCATCATATATTTTTTAAAGACTAATATCGAATTGTCCTATATGCATATCTGTCTGTATGAGTGTGTGTAAATGGATGTTATTTGAAATATGGAAAAGACGTCAATTCACATGTGATAAACATGATAATACATTTTTTAAAGGTCATGGAGGTTCACAGATGTTTTTGTTGTTTCTTTTAATCTGTCTTCCTTCATTAGAGTCTGCCATATAGGTGATACGTCTATCCCTTCCATCCTATTTACTGCATTCGATGTGGATAAAATATGCAAGGCTTCACAGGTCAACCTTTCTTTATGTGAATGAAAGCCTCTCCCCAGAATTTCGACATTGTAGAATTCAATATTATCTCCGCTATCTGTCACATGCATTGCTATACCTGATCTGTTTTCTAGACTTTTCAATGCTACTTCATTTCTAGGTGGACGTTTAGTGCACACTCTATATCCATTCACTGTGACCTTCACCTGTCTACTGCTCTCTCCTATATAGCAAACTTCACATTCTCAACATTTTATCCTATAGACACAATTACTTTGTGACATTTTGGGAACCATATCTTTGACATTCACCAAACCTTTCTCTAGAGAGTTAGAGGGCTTGAAATAGACTTTAATATTATGTGAAGCAAGTATTCTTTGAAGTTGTTCAGTTGTCTCCTTTTAATATGGAATGGCTATCGTCGATAGCCGAGATTTTTCAATTTTCTCTTTTCCCTTCTGCTCCTTTTTATTGGTAATATTATTTAGTAGCTTTTCCGGATAACCATTTCCAATCAAAATCTGTTTTATATTGGATATCTCGTTCTCCATATCATAATTATCTGTTACAATGTTTCTAGCTCTGTTAATGAGATTTAAAGCTACTGCAACTTTCATTATTCCTGGATTATCTGATTGGAAATTCAAATACTTGTTTGAATGTGTCGGTTTCCTGTATATCGTGAACTTTAGTTTCTCGTCAGTTTGTCTTTTTTCCCACAGACAATCCAGGAATTGACTTCAATTTATTTAATTTTTGACTATTTATATTTTTTGATGTTTAATAAAATTCGAATAATTTTGCTGAAGAAGCTGTGGCTTACACAGCAAAATGTTGATGAAAATCTTGTTTTGATTTTTTTTCATAAACACACTGGAATTATTTTAAATAATTTGTAGTAAATAAATTTATTTATTTATCCAAATGCAGACATATTGCTTACCTTTTCCAGTTGTTTCCAGCCGGGTTAGCAGGTGACTGTTAAAAAAGAAAGTAAAAATAAAGAATAAGGAAAAGGGAGGTAAACGAATTAATTATGATTTGCCAAATTATTCAATGCGTCGTTGGCTTATCGGTAGAATGCTCGCCAAACACGCCTCATGGGGTGCGGGGTTCGATTCCCGTCTACTGACGCACTCCTTTACCAGCTAAGCCGGTAACAACACCGGTAAAGTGGGAAGGTTGGGCATGAGGCTAGCAATCCCATCGATACGGAAACTTCACAGCTCTATCTTGAAGCCCTATGATCCACTGGCATCACAAATAAACACAGTTTTAAAAAACAGTATTCGCTGGTTACAAATACACGCATCTAGGATCATATGCAGTGATCTTACTTTGTTCCAAGTAAGTAATTTATTTGAATTCATGTGGAGAGAAACATCTGCATCTAGTAATAACTAAATAACAGTCATTTTTAGGCATGACAGTGTTGCATGATTAAAGTAAATTGTAGTGGATCCAGTGATGAGCTCCCTGTCTTCTAGATCTGTCTGCTGTGTCACAGAAGCTCCTTTCTGTGCCAAAGTCAGTGATGCTATCCACTGAAATATTTGAGTGGTGATGGGGTGAAAATTAATTTCCTTCTGTCAAGGAATAGAACTTTCGTATCCACAGTATCAGCCATGCTAGTCAGTCATTCAGTATAACTCCCTGATATCTTACTGCTCGTCACCTTTGTTATTGTCTGACCTCGGCTATCCATTTAGTTGGAGTGTCATGGTGAACTCCGCTTTTCCAAGTAAACAGACATTACTAATTCTTAAGTTATGATGCGATTAGGTAACTGATCAACTTTGTAAGCTCAAATGTTACTCGGTTTCCAAAGTATTATTAATCTTCAGTATATTAGTCTTAACGTCTGTGCATCGCATTAAAATTGGAAAGTAGGGAGTAATCTGTTCACTGATTCCAACTGGATCCATGACTGCATCAGTTCCTTATTTACATGATTTTCTCCATGTCACCCTCTGATGCCCAATACTTCGTTCCGCATTCAGGTTCCATTGAAGACCATGGTGTGTGATGTCATTTGAACACCTTGACAGAGTGTTTCCTTCCGTATATTTGTTGGGCCAGCCATAGATTAGTGACTGGTTAGATGTTTGCGAAGTTTCTTGTTGCTTGGCGTTTCTAGTCAGCCATCAGATTTGTTGTATCGAGTGAACGTAGTTGGTGATGAGGGTCCGGAGCAGGCTGTGAAAAATACTTTCAGTGACTCATGCTCCAAGTCTCTGAACCGCAAAGAAGTACTGATTTGACAGTAATGTTGTGAATTAAGATCTTGTCATTTATACTTCAAGCTGTAGACCTGTATCCTGGTTAAAGTCTAGTGATCTTATCTTTGACATCTATATCTGTTCTACCTGCGGTTAAGAAGATGAATCCTAGGTAAGTGAAGGAAGTAACTTCCCTTATATTTCCCCCATTTGTGGTGTTTAACGTTTCTTGTTGTTTTTGTTGCCTATTAAGTGTCTTCATCAACTATGCCTTCCTTGTATTTTCTTGAAATCCAGTCTTCTCTGCCTCTTCTGCCGAAATGATTGTTTTTCGCCTCCATGCGCCTGAGACTGTGCGCCACTAGACGTGAAGTCCAAACCTATGACTGTATTGTTACTGTCCACAGCCTGGCACATGATCCAGTATACGGCAGTCAAGAATATTATCGGTGAAAGCAGGTTACCTTGTTGTAATCCCACCTTCACTTCAAGGTTTTCGGTGGGTTTTCCCCGTTGTGAGTAACTCTTCGTGTGGCGTTAATATAAAGTTGTTGAATTAGGTTGATCGAAGGTTTGGAGCACTCCATAATGTTAGAGCAGTTTCGCGGTCAACCCAGTCAAAGGTTATTCTCAGCGTCTATGAAATCGAGTAAGAGATTTGACTACTGCCTGCTCATTCATACTGGGAAATATATAACTGAAGAGTCTAGACTACAGTGAGTTATGCTTGATGAACCTCATTGACAACAACCAAGTAATAAGTACTGGCATAACATTGTTTCATTTCTGTGGCCCTTGTAGTCTACGCAGGTACAAATAGTCATGAGAGGTCAAGTTTCAAAACACCCAAAATAAATGGAGAAATGATATTTAATTGAATTTTACATTTTCCCGTCGATTGATTGAACCAAAGGGCTCGGTCTCAGGTTGATATGTCGGCTTCTCGTGCAGATGCTTCGACGATGTCTGGGCATGTAATTATAATATAATTGGTGGATGGTGACTAGCAGTGGGCACTGGATTCGAGTTTCGGTGGGAGCATCACCACTCACTGGGGAATGCAGGTACATCCGGATGACGAGTTCCAAACAGGACGAAATGCGCTGTTAGTCACCATCCACCAATTGAAGAAATAATATGCTTAGAAAGTTTATATTCAAGAATCTTAAGCTGCTATGATTAGGAACACAGCTGTTCACATGTGCTGAATGTATTTCTTAGCGAAACTTTGTGTGGAGGTGGGTACTGACTAAGCATTACAGACGAAAGCGTAAGTCATTTTTGCTTGCAGACATTTGTGTTTGTTCTACATAAGAAGTAAAGCATTCGTGAAATACAGATGTTCTAGAGTCTTTTTGTCGGTCTTACATATACCCGTCTACTCAGTCGTCGTAGTATGTTGCGTGAACCAGTTCACTGCAGTTCGAAAAATGATCTTTAGTAGTAGGCAGCCACCGTTCTTCGCCTAGTCTTCCTTTGGGAATTTCTCGGCATTTAACACATACCAGTTGAATGAGGTTTATAAATGCTTTTGCTACAGCACTCCATAATGTTGAGGAAGTTTCCAAATTATATCAGAGTCAAGTGACTTAGGGTTCGAATCTGAGGAAGAAGCATTAATTCCTTGAAGAATGCAGATACGCCTTGCTGACGAGTTCCAACAAGCACGCAACCTGATTCCAGATGTTCCTGGCAACTAACTTCAGCCATTTAATGACAACAATTTAGAGTTCTTTAATTGACGGCTAACCAGCTAGCATAATGCGAACATTGCAAGCATGACTGATAGAATTCAGCCTGCACCGAACGGCGAAATAGATGCATGACAGTGTTGCCTTATGCAAACACACCACATAATAATGATGAACCGTTTACAACCTGGAAGCAGAACCCAGATTGGATTGTTAACTGGTCAGAAAATAGGCCAATCTACGCTTGTGTACTATTAGCACATCTGTTCAACTTTAAATGAATGTTAATCCACTTTACTTTTGGCGAAATTGCCGTTGAATTTTTCAATTTTTTGTTTTCTTTTCTTTTCTTTTTGGTTTAAAGATAAATTAGCATTCTATTGTCATTATTATTATTATTACGATTGTTGCTGTTTAACTGGCAGGTGGTTGGGATGTTTTGTTCCACTTAATTAGGATTTTATCAATGGTAAATGCTTCAAAAAAAAATGTAATTTCAATGTTTCTATCTGTCAGTCAACGGAAATTAATCTAAGTAGTATCTGCTGGTTTTCTTTGTTTGTTTATTTGTTTTTATTTTGTTTTCTATTCAGAAAAAGTGAAACAGCTTAGGGAGAGAAAAAGCCAACTGCATAGAAGCCAGTTTTACCTGGCAGTCATTTTAGTAGAGAGAGTCAACAAGTTGTATAAGTGTTTAAGTATTTAGCGTATAAAACTTGCTGTACATATGTATATATACATATCAATCAAATCTATTTTTATTTTTCAAACAACAAAACAACTAATCTAAATGTGACCATGCGTAGGATTGTTATTAACAAGTTGGTATTTTTTTCTTCAATTTCATTTGTATGCTGCTTTGCGGTAAAAAGTAGTATAAATTTTTATACAGCAATTTATCAGTTAAGGGGTTGATACCCGAACACACACACACACACAAACGAAAAGTGGAAGAGAACGGAAATGTAGTGAGAACAATAAACTTTAATTTCACTTTTTAAATTCTGTGACTGACCAACTTTAGATAGAGAGAGGTGTGTGTGTGTTGAAAACCACAGAGCACTGGATAGTTGTTTTGTCCTCCTTTTGGGACTCTTCATCGGTGTGCACTCACGATCCAACTAGGGGTTGGAAATCGCACCTACACTTTACGAGAACAAACTTGTTCATTATTCAGCCAATTGGGCAGGAATTCAGTGAGCCGTGGATGCTAATTTTTTCAGCTCATGACAGCGCTACCCTGACCAATGCCTTCTATGAATGTTTACTTCTTCTTGACATGGTAGGCTCCAGCAGTCAGGACTCCTCACTACAGCTTCAGCATGGAGTGGATGCTCATTGAAGGTGTTTGTTAGGGCAGTGTAGTATCACGAGTTGATAATTTAGAATTCATGGGTCATTAATTTCAGGTCTAAGTATCTGAATTGTCAACGAGTTTTGTTCTCGTAAGCTGTAGTTCCTGGTTCCAATCCCTGGTTGGATCGTGAGTGTTCCAGACTAGGAAGAAATGTATATCTAGTACTCATTGGTTTTGAGTGAACTCTCTAAATGATGTAGGCTTATGGTGAAATCTAACAATGGGAATTTAATTAAACCATGTCCTTACAAGTGTGTCAGTGGCACAGTGGTAGAATGGTAGCCAACCACGCCTCACGTGTTCCGGGTTTGATCTCCGGCCACTGATGCACTCCTTTATCTCGCTATGCCAGTAATAAGACTGGTAGAGAGGGAAGGTTGGGCATGAGGCTAGCAACCACATCCCGTAAAAGTGAACACCACTGCTACCGAAACTTCAAGCATCTAGCTTTAAGCCCTATGTTCCACTGGGAACGTAAAGGAAAAAATACTTACAAATCGTGAAATCTGAAATAGTAAAGGAAACATTTACACAGTTCTAGGCCTAGAGAAACCACTAGTTACATCCCGTCGCAAATACAACTGAATGGTGAATGGAAATATACATACATTATAGTATACTGATTTATGTTTAAATTGAAATAAACGCTAATTCTGAAAACTTACAAATGTTGTCCCATGTACGGGAGTAGTACACTGATCGCATAAATTTTCATAGTTCTCACATAACACCTTTGTATTAGTATTGCTGATTTTTCGTAACTGAGCATGATGTGATGGGTGATGCCTTTGCATAATCACAGGTTGAACAGTACTTCCATTCAATAGATGATCACCTATTTTATCAACAATTAGTTATTAAAATACAAAAAAAAATTTCAGTTGTGAAAAGAACAAGAGTTCGATAGTTTATGCAAACATTTATAAAAAATATTTAGCTTTAGCTCGAAAGTATTCGCTGTTATTTCATGAACAAAGCCGTAACCAATCAGATCTCAGCGAACCAGCATTTCCTAATTAATCTGATACCAACTAGCAAGTAGCTCCATATAGGACGTTACCTGGAATTCTAGCGAGATATCGTAACCAGAGAGGTCAAGTGAGTCTGGTAAGAGAACAATTACTCATTATAATAAAGGTGTTTTGTATTTCCCTGTATTTCCCACTATCTGATAACGAATGAGAAAGAAAAAGAAGAAGAAATATCAAGCATTACTGAGACTCTCAAGCAAAACAACTACCCAAAGAACTTCATCAACAAAATCAACACTGACATTAAGTATGGTCGAAAACGTATTCTGAAAACATGGACTTCAACAGTTGTCATTCCATATAGAGCAGAGACGTCAGACGATATGAAAAGAGTACTCAATAAGCTCGACATCAGAGTTTTCTACAAAACATCAGACACACTGCGAAACAACCTTGTCCATATAAAAGACTAAATTCCTAAAAATCCTCTATCTAATGTGTCTATAAAATAAAATGCTTGCTTGGAATGTGATGCGATATACATCGGACAAACATCGCCAAATAGAAGTCAAAATCAGAAGAAATGTACACCATAGAGCATCTGTTCGACCACTGAACAGTTGAACTAGAAAAGCTTGAAAAATCACCTGCCACAGATCTGTCCACACATTATAGAATCAGGCCTCAAAATTGATTTTGACAATATTGAAATCATCATCCAGAAAAAGCACTTCAGAAATCACAAAGAACGTCTAATATCAATCATAAGCACTTCATATCAAATGGAATCCAAATTGTCTGAGCTGAATAGGAATGATGGACTAAAACAGAATTTGACCTGGTTACAACGACATTCCCTCCCCCATTAAAACGACAAAATGATAAGCAATTTCATTATGTAAACACACGCTGCTTTTATAATTTTACACACTTATCAAATCCAACAATCTACACCTGGTTTTTATCTTTACCAGTTGACCAATTTGACAACGGAAAAATGATCCCATGCTGAGGAACGATGATTAAGTTGTTAAATATAATCTGAAGCCCTATGTTCCTCTAGGTACTAAAAGAAACAATAGTATATAATAATAACAATAATAATATAAGCTGAGATTTTGTAAATTCTGGTTTCATAATACTTTGATGAAGCTATTAGGAACGATAGGCAGCGATACGTCCTTAAATCAGTTGATGTTATATTCGAATATCACAAAGCATATTGTTAAAGAGATTTTTCACCTTGAATATCGAATTAAAAAAATTATTTCATTTATTTTAAATTTTCTTCACGAACCTACAGTAATTTGGAGGTCAATGAAAGTCATGGAGCATATGGAATATTCAGGTCTACCGAAAAATGATTCCACCAGGAATAGAACACAATACCTTCAGGTTACACGATTACTGCATAAATTGAATTTGGACTTTTGTCATTCCATGCCATTATGCGATTAGTAACAGCAAATATGTTTGCCTAACGTTATTTACTCAATCATTCTGATTCGTCTTATGCTTTCTCACAGAAGGTTCATCTTTATGAGTGATATAGAAGTCAAAATACTTTAGATGGCTTAGTGAAGTATTGCGATGATCAAATAATGTATTACTGTCAATTTAAATAATTATGCTGATTTTGTTTGTTATAAATCAGCGAAGAAAATACAAGGTGTGCTAGCAAGGATGAATCATTCAACATCTCATTAAAATGGTCACCTACACAGATACACAAGATTTAACTGTACTCTTATTATTATTATTCCCTCGCGTTCCAAGCGCAACATAGGGATTCAACAACACATCTCCACTTTGTTCTGTTTTATGCCGTCCTCTTCAGCTGGGTCAACGACTGACCAATCTCTCTCATCTCTTCCTTACACGATCTCCTCCATGCCACACTCGCACTGAAGGTCCACTCGTCGCTTCCCATTTGGATTCCACTCGAGCAATGGCCTGCATTGCGTGCGATGTCGTTTGGCGGCATCCTCAATGTATACCCGGTCCATCTTCACTTTCTCCTACATATTTGTTGAGCGATCGGCCCTCATCTGTTGGTTTGTTCCCATAGATTCTTGTTGCTTATTCTTTCTCACTGGCCATTTGATCTTCAGTAGGGAGCCAGAGAAGGCAGCTGTTGATGAAAGTCTGCAACAGGCTGTTGGGAATCCTTTTCATAACAGGCTGGTCAAGTTTCTGACCCGTATAGAAGAACCGACTTCACATTGAATTTCTTATGCTGAGGCGGAGTGCAGAAGATTTCGCAACTGGTTTCAGGTTGATAAAGTCAAATCTAGCCTTTCTGATTCTGGCTAGCTTTGAAATAGTTATCCGTGCTGTCCGACTGCCTGTGGTTGAAACAGTACTTCCTGGCCAGATAAGTGAAGGAGGTAACCTCTGTTAAATCTCTGCCGTTGATGGTGATTGGTGCTGTTTGTTGTTGCTGTTGCTGTTCGTTGGTTATCTTCATCACCTCTGTCTTCTCTGTGTTCACCTGCAGTCCTGTCTTCGCCAACCACTTCTTCAGCCAGTTTGTTGGCTTTCGCCTGCAAGCTTTCGAGTTTGTGTGACATTAGAAAAATATCATCTGCGAAGTCAAGATCCTCTAGAGTCTTTTTATTGGTCATCCAGCGTATTCCTGACTCCTCGGCCCCCCAACAGTCTGACGCACAATTCAGTCCAATACAGTGAAGAATATCATCGGTGATAATAGGCAGACAGCTTGTCTTACTCCTGTATGCACTTTGAAAGCCTAGCTGAGTTTTCTGTTGTGGATTACTTGACACATGGCATCGTTATATAGCCAGCTGTTGAATGAGGCTGACAAAGATTTGAGGTACGCCATAGTGTTGAAGTAGTTTCCAAATTACTTCTCGGTCTACGCTGTCGAAGGCCTTCTCGAAGTCGATGAAGTTGACGTTTAGGTTTGACTGCCATTCTATGCCATGTTCGATGACAATGCGTAGAGTTGCAATTTGATCAGCACATGATTTGCCCTTCCTGAATCCAGCTTGTTCCTGTGAGGCTGGCGCAGTTCTGTATCCAGTGCATCCTTTATTCTCTCAAGGATGATGCAACTTAGTAGTTTACTTGGAGTGGACAAGAACATTATTTCACGCTAGTCAGTTCTTGCACAGGCCTAAGTAGCTCTTCGTTGGCAGTTTGACGAGGTAGCGCTTCTTTCATTCAGTAGGCACCTTTCCTTCTTTCCAAACTTTTAGCAGTAATGCAGTGAGAACATCTGCCGTAGTCTCTGAGCCGTCTTCAGTGCTTCGGTGGGAATACCGTCTGTACTGTACTTTACTGAAATCAAATCTAGTAGAATGCTAATCACCAACCATTTGGGCTTTCAGGTATTTCGCGATTAACCATGCCTATTGTGTATTAGCTAATGACATTACCTGGCCGTCCAAACCCTGATAGGTGTAACGGGGTTCAAACCCGTGACCTGTTAGTTGAAACTCGACTGTCTAAACCGCAATCTAGGGTCAATTCATTATTAAAGTGAAATACAAGCGGACGGTATTCAAAAACTACAAGACGAGTGGTTTCATCAGATGAATCGATTTTTTTACCCAACTGATAGTAACTGTAAAACACGCTAAATACAGGCGGCACAAACGGGAATCTCAAAGTCAGCCAGGATCAGAAAATGCAAGGCACACCTCCATTACTTAGAAATCAATGTGGAAATCTGCTGCATTCTACATAAGGAACAAGATCGAGAACTTCAACGCCAACTTTAAACCAGCGCAGCTTTACAGTTCAAAGACTTGGCGACTAAGTCATCAGAGGAGTTTCAAACCGGTTACTGCAGACTGATCAAATTCTGCTGACTTCACCCCATACTGAAAATCAGATGGCCTGTGAAAAACCAAAAGTAACGGGGAACTCTGTTAACGAACCGACTAACAACCTATCACGTGACAGCTATACAGAAGGGGATGGAAATGGTTTGTAAATACACTGAGGAACCCATTGAGTGAGATCACGCCATAGCCTGGCCGTTGACTGGAGCCTGAAAAGGAAATGACAGGTTAGGCGTGCATCCGATGGTGATATGAAGGAGATTGCGTGAGAAGGAGATGAGTGACTATAATAAGTCATGGCGTCAGATGAAGGCGACCCTAGGGGAACAAGACCAAGTTGAAAGGTGGTATTGAATCCATATGTTCCACTCAAAACCCGATGGATTAATAAATAAAATAATAAATAAAGTACGCTACTGTACCATTCTTCCCATCTACTACAAGGTAACTAGCCTGGCAGTGATTACTATCTTCACCATGAACTGCACATCATATTATTTGTTTTCAGGTGAATTTTGAATTTCCTATTGATCGATTATGTTGAGCTGAAATGTTCAGTCTCATGAGATTTCTTAAAACTATGGGCGCAGGGTTTCAGTCTCCTTGGGATCACCATTATCACTCACTTGGAATGCAACAATATTTTAGCTAACAAGTCCTAAGTGAGATAAAAAACGCACCGTGCATTCAACTGCTAGTTACCACCAACCAAGATAACTCAATGCTCATCTTGTTGTTATGAAGAAAGTTTTAAAGTCTTGATGACTGAGAACAATAGAAGGAAAAAGAAACTGGTACTTACCTCCTGTATTGTTAGTTATCTTCTCATAACTGTTAGTTCGACTTGTCGAAAGCAAACTATTATTATTATTCTGATCAATGCCTATATCACCATTTGGATAGTTGGTTTGTGATGACGGATGATATGAATGCCGATTGTATGTTTGATGAAGTAGGCTTTGTTGACTACCATGCGTCTTAATCTGCTGTAATGGATCCTCTTCACTATATCTACGATGATTCAACTTCTCACTAGTCGGCAGATTGTGTAGATCACATTCACTTGATGAGATGATATTACCATTCTAAAATGAGTAGGATAATAATCTTTTGTTTGTTGAAATGGTATATAAATTTTGGTTTAAGTTAGTTAAGCAATAAGGATTAAAATGTGAATATAATTCTTCACATAACACACAGTGTTGTACAGTAATATTAACTGATGACGTTTCGAGCATAAACTATTGCCACTCATAATCATATCAAGTCACTACTCACACAACTTTTTCCTTCATTTATATACATGCATTATACATACATATATACAGATAGAAGAATCGTTGGTGTTGAATAACTATCCTATAAAATTCATTAGGAAGATAACAAAAGGCCAGAAACAAAATAAAAATAATTGTGGAACTAGTAATGATAACATAAATAAGAGAGAATATAAGGCATCCACTGTTATGCCATATAAGGAGGGGACATCTGAGACTCTGCGTAGGATTCTTAATAAAGCAGGAATTAGGGTGACATTCAAACCTACAAACTCACTCAGGTAGGACAAGCTCTGTAGGTTAAAGGACCCTGTTGGTTGACCCAATTAGACAAAATAATATAATTTACAAAATACCTTGCAATGACTGTGAGTTAAGTCAACTACATAGGTCAAACTAGTAGGTCGGGGGTAATCAGATTGTCGGAACATAAGAATTTAGCTAAGGTAAGAATGGTTGACGCTGAAAAGATAAGTAATTTAGAAAAAAAGCTCAGCAATTGCACTTCATGCATTAACAAACAACCACACAATAGGGTGGGATAGGGTTAAAATTCTAAAGAGTTACATAGGTAGGTGGAGAGAGGTCGATTACGGAATCCTTGTTCATTGAGTCTACACCCAACACGTGCAGCAGAAATGACTCAATGCAAATACCAGAAATATGGAAGATATTATTGCCACCAGTCAGTCAAATCAGAAGAGGATAATAAATAATCTAAATATTCTATTACAATTCAAACACACCAAAACATTCTAACAAGTAACTCGTACTATTATTTCTGAATGTACATTATCTCATACTGAATTTTATTCCAATATCTAATCGATTCCACACATGTATATAAATGAAGGAAAAAGTTGTGTGAGTAACTTGATATGATTATGAGTGGCAATAGTTTATGCTCGAAACGTCATCAGTTAATATTACTGTATAACAACACTGTGTGATTTATCAAAATAAAATCTTATCCATAATGGAGTTATGCTCTACCACAGTGCCCAAGTTTTATACTTATATCTTCACATAACAATAGAAGTTGGGCACTGTGGTGGAGCATAATTCCATCGTAGAGCAAATCTGTGTGTGATAAAGCCGCACATAATAATTTCGTATTATCAGCTAATAACTTTTCGAGCACAGTTTATTGCTCACAGTCATCATATTACAGCACTGAAGCAACTTTCCAACTTCGTTCGTTTATTTGTTTTCATTATTTTTTTATCCTTTGATTTTATCGGTGGTAATACCTACCATATCTTTGATATTGACGTTACGTTTTCACTATTTCACGTGGTAGGTACAGATCCAATTAGTACAAGTATTCAGTGTAATTTTTGACTTTAACAGAAGTAAGAAAGAATTTGACGCATCTACAGTTTTACCAAAATATAAGGAAGGGGCATATGAAACCATAGGTAGGATTCTCAATAAAGCAGGAATTAGGGTGGCATTCAAAACTGCAAAACTCACTCTGTACACTGAAACATGATTTTAACCCAGTCAGATAAAATAGTGTAGTCTTCGAAATACTATTAATATTAGTAAACAGACTAGTAAGGAAAACACTATATGTGCAGCGGAGAATTAAAAACCGCTCACCACCGTCCATTCACTTATTCTTTCTACTATACATTCCCGTTCACTATATTATTATTATTGTTCCCTTGGGTTCTTAGTGGAACATAGGATTCAACTGCACGCCTCCACTTTCTTCTGTCTTCTGTTGTACTTTTCACTTGCATCCATGTTAGTCCATACTGTTTCAACTCCACTTCACACGATCTCCTCCATGTCACCCTTGAACGTACCACTTGCCGCTTTCCTTCCGGGTTCCACTCGAGCGTTGGTCTGACATGCGATGTAACCTAGCGGCCTCCTCAGTGAGTGTCCAATCCATCTTCACTTTCTCATGCATATTTGTTGGGCGATTGGTTCTTGTTTCGTTTGTTCCCATAGTTTCTTGTTGGTGATTCTTTCCGGCCATCTGATCTTGAGTATAGAACGAAGACAGCTGTTGATAAAGGTCTGCAACAGGCTGTTGGAAATATTCTTGGTGACCCGCCAAGTTTTTGGTCCGTATAGAAGAAGTGACTTGACGTTTCTATGGAAAATCCGAATTTCTGTGTTATGTGGAATGCGACAGTTTGAACTGTCGTACTCTGGTTCAAATTTCTAAGTTGAAAATGCAGCTCAAGCTGACTCCTAGAAATCTTTCTGTTACTGTAGCATTAAGAAACTCTTTCTGATTTACCGTCTGATTTACGTGTTCCTTTCAAAATGTTGCATATTTGTGAGGCTTTTAGTGTTATATTGTTCTCGGGGCTGAAGTGCTTAGATGTATTATAATATAATATTAATACTATTAAAAGAGGCGCTATTACTGTTTGACAAGTTTAGAGTCCCTATTTTCTTTCTGTTTGTCAAACAGAAGGCAGTATGATGGGAAACAAAGCAATTTAGTTAGTGGTTACTAAAAGGCTGTCTAGACAGTGGATAAAGTGGGACAAATCAAGACGCAAAGAGATAATGAATTTAAGCAAGCGTGTATGAAATAAGACAACATCCGATTCACTAAGGCTAACTTTTTAGACGAATAATCTCAAATATGTCATGATCTATGTTGACTGTCATTCAGGTAACAGCTAAGCAGTCAATGGTCTCCACAGTATTGAGATCAACCGTTTTTACTTTTTACAGGTAAGGCATTTTTCCATCCATCAAAATGCATCGTATTTATGATTATTAATTTGATTGCATGGAGGATTTCATCATGAGCTGACATCAGTTAGAGAACTAGTGGAAAACCTGGGAGTACTGAACAGCTGTTTCGTTCTAGTTTTGGACTCTTCAACAGTGCACACCCACCATGGCTAAAACCCAGGACCTTCTGGATACAAGGCGAGCTCCTAGACCATTGAGACACTGGGACCTGATCCAATGGTCCTTGAATTCTAACTTCTGCCAATTCACGATATAGCGCGACCATTTCGAAATGTCTTCTTCGATGAGTTACTGCCTCATCTTCAACCCTTATTTCTTGGGTACCGAGTAGATAAGCACATCTCAATCCTCTTCATCTGACTCCGACACTGCCCATAAGATCTCATTTCCTCATCACACTGTCTTCCCTGTGTCACTCTCAAACCCACGTCAAACTCGCCGATTTCCATTCAACTATCATTTGAGGGCCTGGTGAGCGATGTCATTCATCGATCTACTCAGAGTGTGTCCTTCGACATATTTGTTGGACATCGTACAGCTACCTCTTATTTACCCCATATTTCATTGCAGTTTAATCATCCAGTTATCTTCATGAAATTAAATCTCTGTTCATGAACACATTCAAATAGATTTCATCCTATTACTGCAAATGTTTTGAAGGAAATGGAGAAAGAACATCGTGGAATAATAGAGAACGCAAACAGATGAAGATAATGAAGGATAGTGAAGAAAACCTAGTTGCTTAGTGGGTAAAACAAAGGAAACGATCAGGCCAGTCATTTCCAAAAGTCTCTTGAATCAATCACCACCTGCATCTCATCTAGCAGTGTCACCAACTGTCACAGAATTGCCGGTGAACGAATATCAGTCCTCCGACTGAAGTCTTGAGTGCTAGAAAGTTACTGAAAATCCTCTAGTGGGAAACAACGAATTCGGCGTTTGTTCTAGGGTTATATGGAAATGATAATGTGGAGAGGAAATGAAGGCTTGTGCGTAATCGTAAAGCCCGCTAAAGAAAGATACAGAGAACCTACTGAAATAGAGAGACAACGATAGTATTAATAGCAATAATAATAGCAAATTATACAGGAATAAATAGCTTAAAAAGTGAAAATTCGTTTATTATTATTTCATAAAAATGATTAAACGTGAAGTAATTAGTGCTGTCAAATCAACATTATATATAACTGAATAATTTGACAAATCCATTTTCTATTTATTTCAATCAAATCCCTACAAACCAATACTTGAACATCAATGAAATGCTCACTAGCGACTGGCCATATTCAGGTAGGTAGTTACCTGGGTTCTAGTGGGAAGCTGTGACCAGTAGGTTGCAGCAGGTCGGGTGTGAGGACGAATACTCGCCGAAGACATTGGCTAGCAGTCGCGCTATATCATGAATTGGCAGAAGTTGGAATTCATGGGCTGGCCATCGGGCCGGGCGCCAGTGGCTTAATGGTATACGAGCTCGCCTTGTAACCAGAGGGTTCTGGGTTCGAACTGGGTGGGTGGGTGCGTACTGCTAAAGAGTCCCAAACTAGTGGGGCAAAACAGCTGCCCAGTACTCCCAGTGCTGGTTTTCCAATGGTTCTCTAACTGATGTCAGCTCACAATGAAATCCTCCAAACAACCAAACAAGAAATCCCTACAAAACCAATACTTGAGAATTTTTATGTTCCAATAATCTAGTTGACCCTGATCTCCTAGTTTGACCTATGTAATTGACTTCACAGTCACTAATTGCATGGTATTTGATAAATTATATTATTTTTCTTAGTTGTATCTATTGGGTCGTTAAGCCGACAAAGTTTATTTCTGAGATAATTGGTTGGTTGGTTTAAGTGCCACCCTAATTCCAGCATCATTGAGAATTCTACGTAAGGCCTCTGACATCCCTTCTTTATACCGCAGTGCTTCGGAAATGTATGAAGAACCATAGAAAAACTAAGACCAGCAATAAAAGTGAGGAAAATAATATAGAATTTAAACCCTCTATAGCACTGCCGTATTAAAAAGGGACGTTAGAGGACTTAGCTTAACCTAGAATGATTGATCCTGATAAATTAAATAACCTAGAAAGAAAACTCAGACATTGCATTGCATGTAATCACACATATATAAGACGGGACACGGTGAGAGTACTAAAAGTTATATAGTTAGGTGGATATAAAGAGAGGTTAATCACTGAAGCTTTGTTTATCGACTCAACACCGCACACGTGCAATCGAAATGACGCAACGCAACGCGTATACTGGAGATATGGAAAGTGGCAACAAACAGCAAAAGGAAGTTGGAGAGACAGAAAGAGAGAAAATATATTGAAGTATAATTTTCAAGTAATGGTTTTGTAGGGATTTTGTTTGATTGCATGAAGGACCTCATCATGAGCTGACATCAGTTAGAGAACCAGTGGAAAACCTGGGAGTACCGGACAGCTGTTTCGTCCTAGTTTGCGACTCTTCAACAGTACTCACCCACAGGGGTGCAGTTAACCTGGGGTTCTTGTAGGAAGCCGTGACCAGTAAGGTACAGCAGGTTGAAGATGAAGCAGTAAGTCATCGAAGAAGACATTGCGAAATGGTTGCGCTATGTCGTGAATTGGCAGAAGTTAGAATTCAAGGACCATTGGATTGGGTCCCAGTGGCTCAATGGTATACGAGCTCGCCTTGTGGATGCGTACTGATGAAGAGTCCCAAACTAGGACGAAACAGCTGTCCAGTACTCCTAGGTTTTCTAGTGGTTCTCTAACTGATGTCAGGTCATGATGAAATCCTTCATATATATATATATATATATATATATATAGACAAATTGTGATAACGTGTGACTAAATTGATATGATTATGAGTGGCAATAATTAATGCTCGAAACCTTATCATCCAGGCGTTAATACAACATCATCACTGTGTGATAATTAAAATAAAGGTATCTAATATGGAATTACATTTTACCATAGTGCCTAAGTTCTACACTTGCATTAGTGATTGTTTGAAAGCCAGTCAAACCAGTGCTTGAATATACTTTGTGACTGAAGAACATCGCTAAAGTAGTAAAAGGAGTTAGAATTAGAGGGAATATGATGCATTGTGTTGGATGGGAAGTCAGGTAGCCCAATGATTCAGCAGGGTCGCTGAGATGGTCCCTCTCGTTCTAACAGACTAGCCTTTAGCCATAGCTGATCAACTGAAGTAGACGGATTCGACTCCTGTACACAGATACTATCGTTTTCATTAAAACACCAGTAGTAACCGGGATTTTTGAATAGACAGGCTCAAGAATCATGAGTCGATTTCTGCATTCAATAACTTAATTGATAATTAAATATACTTAATCATAAAGTATAAAGATTATTTAACCAGTGTAATAATAATAATAATGGTAATAATTACTTACAGTATTATGCGTAAATTCTGGTTTCAGCGGTCTTGCTATATGCGTCACATATTCTTCATTGACTTTTGTCAACTGTGGCAGCGGTCTACGTCTTGTCACCAATGGTGTATTAATATTCGGTGTAGATTTATAATGTCCATAGTGTTTATAAGAATTAGGCATCCGGATGTTGTTATAATTTTCATTCATATTATCATTATTCCTATTATTATTGTTATTACCGATATGTATCATCCTTTCTGAGTCTGAAGCATCTATCTATAATTGAAAGGCATATATATGTAGATATACTGTGAATATATACTAAAACGTATTACTAATATGAATAATAGTATTGATAGTAATAATAATAATAGCGATCAAAATTCAATCGCATCTTGTTAAAATGAATTCAACTCATTTTATATTCTACTAACCTCGATATTCGTTTAATAGGTTAACATATCACAGCATCGTTTATCTCTACTGGGAATATGCGTACAATTACTATTATATGACAGATAAATACTCATATATGCTCGGGTGTATATGTGTAATACCGCACTTAAAAAAACGCAGTCACACACATAGACACACAAACATTTGAAAGAAATAGCAAATAGAAAAAAATATTTTGATTATATGAGTTCATTTCGATTGAAAGGCTTTCTTTTTCGGTGATTAAAACCAGTAGGAGAACAAGATTTGTAATTGTGGCAAATATTGATACTATTACAAATACTTATACTATTACTACTACTACTACTACAAATGATTGATCTGATCTACACATCACATGATGATGGTGATCATGGTGATTACCACTGTGAGATAACCAGTTGATACTGAGCCTACCGATCAGCACATATATATACAATTATATCACCTGATGAGAATTATTGATCAGTCAGTTGAACAATTTTTGTTTGTTTGTTTGTTTGAATTAGTAGTAATTTTATTTTTAAATGAAAAGCATAAAATTTTGATCGACAATTTAGACATCAGTTATTAGATGAAGCTAAGTTAATCACAAAACAAATGCAACAGTTAAAAAAAGAAAGAACTGTTCATGAAACTTCAATTTAATGGGGACGTGGCTAGTGAAGTCTTACATCTGAGATTATCGAGAGCGATAAAACGGACTTATACTGCCACAACCACCCTTTGTTTGTCATTTTCCACTGCCGACCAATTTTGATTGCTCAAGTGAAAGATAAGCTACCTAGTTGTGCCACTTCGATGTGTATCTATAAATTTAGTTGCTGCTGTGGAGAAAGCTATATAGGGCGAACAACTAGACAGCTGAACAAACGCATGAATGATCATCTTGCTTCATGGTTCGGAAAAGGTCAAATAAAATCCATACGAAGTTTTATTTTGGCTCATTTGACTGATAGCGGTCACCAAGTGGACAAAAATAGTGCTTTCAAAGTTATCTATCGTATTCCATCGAGTCTTTCGAATGGAATCAGAAACCGTCTTTTACACCTATCCGAAGCTATGGGAATTCGAGAGGACAATCCTAGTCTTTGCATACAACAAAAGAAGTTTGTTCTACCTTTGTTTCTCCCTTGGCCTAGGTGAATTCTATTCAAAACCCTCCCACCCTTTCTTATTTTCCATCTCCTTCGTACTTTTATAATATTTATTTAAACTCTGATTATCTGTCCACTTCACCTTTTAAGATTTGACCCAATTTATTTATACACTTATATACATATACTATCTTTGTTATTCTTATCACCTGCATAAACCTTATTATCAATATTTTGTTATCATTATAATCATCGTTATTAATTTCGTTCAAAACATTTACCACATTATTATTATTAAGATTATTATTTGATTCCCAAAATCACCGTCATTGGTTAAAATTTTATATATAAATCTATGTAAATTAGAGTAAAGCCTGAAGAAGATCTAATTGAAAACAATATTGTTCGCTTATATGTCTTGTTCTAATATTATAAATGCGAATATTTAAAGATTTGAAATGCATAACTGTTAATTTTCCTAACTTTATCTTCTTTAGCATTGATTTTGTCATTGAATCAAGCATAACTTCTCCTGCGGACCAATCACTGGTCACAAAACATTCACCCCTGCCACACACACACGCTGAGAAAACTAACCACCAAAACCGTACAAAGTACGACCTTGGCGTTTTAATGCTTACACCACATCCATAGCCGTCACAGTCTTCCTCTTCGCATGCTCCGTGTAGGTCACAGCATCACAGATCACATTCTTCAAGAAAACCTTGAGAACACCACGAGTCTCTTCGTAGATCAAACCGGAGATACGCTACACACCACCATGACGAGCGAGACAGCGGATAGCTGGCTTCGTGATGGCCTGGATGTTGTCACGGCGATGTCTCTTGGCTTCTCCCTTGCCCAATCCCTTCCCATCTTAACCACGACCAGACATGATTCAAGAGAATGACTTGAAGAGAACAGACTCGAGACATAAGTCATTTACTTTTTAGTTGTTATGATGAGTAAAACCACTTTATGAGTTCATCAAAAAGAAACCAAAAGTTAGTTAGATCGAGAATTCACGTCTTTAGAATTAACTATAAATCGAAATTTTGCCAACATGACTGAGATTTGAGATGAACTATGGCGATTTCTGCTGAGAATGTACATTGTACTGATCGAAGTATTCTACTGGAACACACGCAGCGAGATATAAGCTTACAGAGAATTGTCATTCGAAGTGATGACAACAAGTGGTGTTCTTCAGGGATGCCCACTGTCATAGATGTACTAATGGAATTAACCCTAACTGACTTCAGAGACTCAGGGATTGATTTGTTACAATCAGGTAATAATCTCGTTGACTTAGAATCTGCAGATGACAAAGTCCTTCTAGGTGAAGACGCTGACAAAATGTGGAGTCTTCTGAACATTTTGAGGAGGAGCAGTCTTCGAATATTTGGCATGTGATTTGCTTCCGTCAAATGTAAGATGATGATACAGGACTAGACTATATCTAGTAACTCCTAGCTTAAAGATAGGGAGTTAAGTGGTTAGTAGAGTGTGTTGACCACTTCACTTATCTGGGAATTCGTATCAGCCCCAACGAGATGCTAGCCGATGAAACCTCAGTACGGATACAAAAGGCTAGAGTGGTATTTGCCAAACTACATCATCTCTGATGTAGACATGATATCCGACGAGCTATCGATCAAATGACATGTGTACTGTACAGCAGCAGTTTGTCTCGTCCTCCTATATGACTGCAGGACATGGCTATTAAAAGTGGAAGATATGAAAAGGGTAGGTAGCTGTCTTTGATCATAAATGTTTGTGCTGTCTCTCCTGAGTTAAATGGCATAAGATTGTAATTAATGTCAAGGTTAGGCTTTGGTCGACAGCTACGTATGATGGGTGAGTCAATCAATGAACCTACATCGATTGAGATGGTTAGTACATGTGTTTAGCATCCCTAGCCATCGAATTCCTCGACGGTCAATGTAAGCTGACAAGGATCAGTTTCGCAAAACAGCTAGTGGTGCTCAAACAAAAAAATGGAATTAGTATACGAAAATTCTAACAGTTATTTTGAGGCACGTAGGGTGCTGTAGGCCACCTGACTGGTTGGGGTTCTCGGGATTCTATGAACCAATGACTGAAGACATTTGATGATATGGCTTAAATCCGTTCCGAACGGCTGGTGCAGATTCACTCTCAGTATTCCACTATATCCATCTGAACAGTACTGTCTTTCCATGTTACTATTCTTTCTCCCTTACATTTCTGTCTGTTATCATTTTTCTGAATCTCTTTTTTCTCTTATGTGTTCCTTTGTATGCTTCATGGTGTGTACCAAATAGAACTGCTGCACTTCTGTGCAAAGTTCTATGTCAGTGTATGTCTGTGCGTTAATGCCTCTAGAAAGTTGCCTGGGGTGAAATCAGTGGAGCAGGAATCACAACTGTGAAGCACTAATAGAAATTCGGGAAACTCAACCAGTGAGTGTTAGGATGGGCAAGCTTCTTTTTTAGCTGTAAAGCGGTGATTGGAAGGTTTTGATTCATTCATCTATTTATGGTTTACTTTTCTGAGAGATTTCGAAGACATACAACCAATAGGATTTGTTTTATTTATTGCCTATAATTCGGTGGGTTTTGTAAATATAATATACTGTGTTTCTTTCTGGACATCATTTTGTTTTTCCAGTCTCACTTATTTGTGTCTGCCTCAGTGTGAGAGATAAATTTCATTGACCAGTTGGCTATGGTGCCATGTTCTGCAGGTGTATTCTAGTCAAGTCAGATGAACCTACAATACGATGGAGAAGATTTGTAGCTCAGCAAGGATGATTTTCATGTAGTTGTGTTCTCTGAGCTAGTGGATGGTTTATTCGCGAAGCCTACACTGCCCTACCCCTACTAGGCAACATCTTCAGCGCATACTTCAATTTGTTGAAGTGAGCTTTTAGATTTCTCCATGAGTTTATTAGTTAGTCATCTCCTCAATAACACTAACTTTTAAACTTGCAGAAGAGGCATTATATTCCCACAGGCGACCTCCACTTTAAGCCAACTGAAAGTATGAAAATAGATCAAGTTAGAATGATTCGTTTGTTGAAGGGTGTACGGAGACGACTGTGACATTCCTTTCAAAACATGCTGATTGAAATTTACTGACGTACTCACTGTTCATTACATATTTACACATACAACAAATATCTATGAGAAATGCATACAAATTACAAATTAATTCTATCGTTAACTTTTAGGAGAAGATCCAGTATGAAGGTTGAAACAATGTAGTATAACTGTTGATAGTGATTAAGTAGGCATGTCTATTGTTTCTGTGTGTACTGGACAGCTATTTCGTCCTAGTTTGGGACTCTTCATCAGTACGCACCTACCGGCATTCGAACTCAGGACCTTATGGTTACAAGGCGAGCTCGTAGACCGTTGAGCCACTGGGACCCAGTCTAATGGTCCTTGAATTCTAACTTCTGCCAATTCACGACATAGCGTGACCATTTCGCAATGTCTTCTTCAATGAGTTACTGCCTCATCTTCGACCTGCTGTACCCTAATGGTCACGGTTTCCCACTAGAACGAGCTCACCTTGTAACCAGAAGTTCCTGAGTTTGAACCCCGGTGGGTTCGTACTGATGAAGAGTCCCAAACTAGGACGAAACAGCTGTTTAGTACTTCCAGGTTTTCTAGTGGTTCTCTAACTGATGTCAGCTCATGATGAAGTCCTCCATGCAATCAAACAAAATCCGTACAAAACCAATACTTGAATATTGTTTCTGTGTCATGTACATCGTTTTGAATGGTGTTAAGCAACTGGTCGCTTTAGATGATCTCATCTAGCTAGATATGTTAAAAGAGCTTGGTGATCAAATGACTCAGAGATTAACACACTTACACACACATCACTACAGATCGAATTTATCAGCTAATCAGAAATAAATCACGTGACACGAAAGTTCAAATTCCAAGTTAATAAAATTGATCAGCTATGATGACAGTGGTTGTCAAGAAATACAATTACATCATTCATAGAGAATTCAGACAAGTTCACTTCATCTTAAAGTTTGTGCTGAAAACGTTATCTGGAAGGACAATGAAAGCTTCGTGATTAAAGCAAGCAGCTCAGAGAACAAAACTAAATCAAAATTATCCACCTGAGCTACAAATCTTCTCTGTTATTTCATGTGCAAAGTGTTGCTAGTTATAAACGATTCAAATAGCCGTCTGTCGTTCAAATAGCCCTTGGCATATATATTTATATGTACATATATATAACCTATAAACTGTTTGCCAGGGTGTTATATTTGTGGAAAAGCCAGTTGTTACCTGTTTTTAGCAAACTTTTGTCATTAGTATAAGACTGTTGTTCTCAATATGTTATTGTGTTACACCGTTTTTTGGGCACACAATATTCCGGTAAGAGTATTTAGAGGGAGGAAGGAGAGCGGACACTTAGACAATTATCACTATATATATTTAATGGGTATGATGTATCAACTTAACAGTTATCTCTTTAGGCCCCGACATTATGCGAATTTACAGTATTTCATTATGAATGAATGTTGTGTGCCTTCTAACTTTGCTTAGTAAGAGCAATAATAGCTTTATTCTGAACAATGTTCAGAATTTTCAATGGAGTTTACTGCACGGTATTTTCTCATCATCTAGGATCTTCAAATAAAATCCTAGTTGACAGTAGATCATGGTGACACAGTGCTGTCTGACCTGAAGCGCAATCCAATTCATGATGACACTTCCTGTTTGTTTCCTTCGAAAAATGTATGGCATTTAGTTAAATTCCAATTATAAAGGCTTCAGGAGTAAATTTTAGGCACCAAGGACACAAATCAGGAAGAGCTATGTCATGTATTAGGATATACTGCCATCAAGGATTATTGTTTTTCTCAAGTTTGATAGAGAGTTGCTAAACAGCAGGTTGTATACATTTTAAATACCAGTATTGTGCAGCAGGTCGGGTTTGAGGACAAATACTCGCCGAAGACACTGTCTAGTGGTCGCGCTATGTCATGAATTGGCAGAAGTAAGAATTCATGGGCTGGCCATTGGATCTAGTCCCAGTGGCTTAATGGTCTACGAGCTAGCTCGCCTTGCAACCAGATGGTCCTGGGTTCGAACCCTAGCGGTGGTGCGACTGATGAAGAGTTCAAACTAGGCTGACGAAACAGCTGTTCAGTACTCCCAGCAGGTTTTCCAATGGTTCTCTAACCGATGTCAGTTCATGATGAAATCCGCTAACCAATTTTAAATACTCGCCAGAGTAAATAATATTATTAGAGGTCATATTTTATTAGATTTTTTGAGTTCTGAACAATAAGACTGTATGGTTTTTGTCATATGTTACAAATAGACTCATTGCACGTAACTTTAGTTAAGATCGACTGCATTGTAAAAATATATCTTCAGCGTACGAATGCAAATATAGTATAGTGTCCGTCACTTCGTCTTCTCACTGGTTCCTACTCTCCTATTGCTTCATTAATACTCATGTTGTTGCATTCGTTGGAATTTGCAGCAACATCTCATCCTTGTCCGAAGACTATTCTACAACCGGTTAATAACTTCTACCAGTGAACACGACCTAAGCAGTGACATAGATCTGTGGATTATATTAATAATCTGTATAAGTGGAATGTAACTTCAATTTTAAGTAACCACTAAGTTTTATTTTTTTATTTTATTTGGATTACAGCTTGATGTCACACTGTATTTTCAGTACAAGCATGGAATTTTCAGCGTGGATATCGTTAATAGAGAAGATTTGTAGCTCAGGGGGATGATTTGCAATTAATAGTGTTCTCTGAGCTGGTTGGTTTAGTTGCGAAGCTTTCGTCGTCTTTCTGGACAACATCTTCAGCGCCATATTTAGCACAAAGTGAAATGATTTAAATTTCTTCATGAGTGATGTAATTGCGTCTCCTGGTAACTATCTTTACACGTGTATTGACCATTTTCTATTGACTTGGAAAAGTGCCAGAGAATTCCTAGAAGCCTGGTACTCAAACGAAATGTAATTAACAAACACGTTAATATAGACGAAATATACCAACTAATAAAAAGTAAATCAGGTGACCAGAAAGTTTAAAATCCAAGTCAATAGAAAATGGTCAATACATATGTAAAGATGGTTACCAAGAGACGCAATTACATCACTCATGAAGAAATTCAAATCATTTTACTTTACGCCAAATACTGCGCTGAAGATGTTGTCCAGAAGGACGACGAAAGCTTCGCAACTAAACCAACCAGCTCAGAGAACACTATTAATTGCAAATGGATATCGGTAGCCCAAATTTGCAGGCTAACCATAGATATCGGGTGTGCGTCGGCAGGGGATTGAACCCCGTACAATGTACATGGTCGGCAAGAGTCCTAACCACTGTGCCACCGACGCATTTCTGTAATATACTGTGACAGTGCTGGTAAACACTGAATCGTTTGTTTGTTCAAACTGGTCTCCATACTGGCGGCAGACAAGAAGGCTGTCATTACTTAATCGTGTACTTGTTGGCAAAAGATTGGAGAAACACTATCAGAAGTATTGTTGTACATTATATTAACGTTTATTTACAGACTTTGGCACTCAGTAACCATTGTAAATCTGTTTCATTATCGGTCGCAGAATAAACAATCGTGCTGTCCAACCATTTTCTATCGTTCTACGTCGATTACAGTTCATAGTGTTCTGCGTATTAGTCTTAGTCTTCTGAAATCAGCGATAGGTCCACGATCTCTGCAATCTGGATATTTATTATACTGACTTAATATTTTTTTTAATTAACTCGGATTTGTATTCTAATATTTTGTATCGTTATCGACTTCACTGTTAGGTCCCTTACAAATTTAAACAAACTGAACAAGAGGAGTCATATATCCAATATATTATTTTCGGTAGTCTAGGTTATACGCAGGCCGACATATAGTTAATGGCTAGACTCAACAACACAACCAACCTCAATCTCCTTGTCTTTATTCCTTTACGTTCCCAGTGGAACATGGGGCTTCAAGCTAGTTGCTTGAAGTTTCGGTAGCAGTGGTGTTTATTTTTACGGGACGGGGTTGCTAACCACATGCCTAACCTTCGTTTTTTATCACTTTTAATACTGGCTTAGCGAGGTCAAGGAGTGTCTGTCTGTCTGTTTTCGACATAGAACTTTGCACATATGTGCGGCAGTTCAGGTCGCCACACTCCACTCCATGTAGCGCACAAAGCAAGAGAAGAAAGTAGGAGAAATGCATAATATAGACAGTAAACAGAGGTGTGAGACAAAGGAATAGTAATAACGAAGAACAAAACTGTTTAACTGGAAATCATAAGTCATAAGGAGTGGATGCATCTGCGCCAGCCATTGAGAACGATTTTGAGCCATGTCACCAATTGTTTCCAACCATTGGTTTTTAACGTCCCGAGGACCCCAACCAGGAAGTCTACACCTTCCTACGTGGCTGGCTTAAACTAACTGTTGTAGATTTCATTGACTAGTGCCATGTTTTCGTTTGACCGCCGCTAGCTCTTTTCCAGCCTGACCCTATATCAGCTAACATTGCCCGTCAAGGAAGGCGGTGGATGGCTAGGCATGCGTAACACATGTCCTAACCATCTCAGTCGATGTAATTTCACAGTCTCGTCGACTGACTTCCCCTCCTTACCTAGCACTCGACGCCTAACCTCAATATTGCTCACCTTATTATACCACTTCACGCGGGAGATAGAACGCAGACACCTATGATCAAAGACAGCTAATCTTTTCATGTCTTCCACTCTCAATGGCCAGGTCTCACAGCCATAAAGGAGGACGGAGCGGACTGTTGAGCAGTACACACGCCCTTTGGTCGATAGTCGGATATCACGTCTACGCCAGAGATGGCGTAAACTGGCATATGCGAAACTAGCCCTCTGTATTCGTGCTGAGATTTCGTCAGAGATTGTGGTACTTCCCAAGTAAGTGAAGCGGTCAGCTTGCTCTACCACTTCACTGCCTATTTCTAATCTAGCGGTCGGTGTAGTCCAATCCTGCAACATCATCTTACACTTTACAGGGGTAAATCGCATGCCAAACATACGAAGATTGCTGCTCAAGGTGTTCAGAAAACTCTGCATTTTGTCAGCGTCCTCGCCTAGAAGTACTATATCGTCCGCATATTCTAAGTCGACGAGATTATTTCTTGGTAGCAAGTCAATCCTGAGTCTCTGAAGTGAGTTAGGGTTAAGTCCATTAGTACGTCTATGATGAAGTTGAATAAGAATGGGGATAATGGGCATCCTTGACGGACGCCACCAGTCATCACCATTTCAAATGACAACTCACCGTAAGCCCTCACCTGGCTGCATGAGTACGAGTAGAGTGCCTTAGTCAGTGGAATGTATTTCCTCCGCATTCTCTTTACAGCCAAGCATTGCCAGAGAACCTTTCGGTCGACAGAATCGAATGCCGCCCTTAGATCAAGACATATAATGATTTTTGGACGCCGTGTGCAGGGATTGAACTCCAGACCACATGTGTGGTCGGCGAATATTCTACCTCTGTGCCCCCGACGCACCTCAATCTCCTAACGTATATATATATATATTGTGAAAAATGTCATATTTACGAACAATAAGCTACAGTGCCTAGACACAAATTAACCGAATGGAGAAAATTTTTATAAAAATGAACTTACTGTCAACTCTTCATTTGAATTATATTGTTTCTCTGGCATATCATTAATATTTCTCCAATAGATTTCATTAACTTCATGTATATTATGCAATCGTGAATTAGATCCTTCACTCTCGATTTCTATATGTGGTGTTGACTTCCCTGCCTTATCAAAACTGTATAATGTTGGTTGATTTATTTTATAAGAAATATTATTACTACTTGAATTGTTACTTTGAGTAGTAGCATTATTACCATGAGATAAACTTTCAGTTGATAAATTCACTTGTGGTGATTGACTGACAGTAATAAGATTTGGATTAATCATAGAATGACGAAATTGTACATTCTTTTTTTGATTGCTTGACTCATATGATGTTGGCAATTTAGGATAGGAATTAGTTTTAATATTATTACTATTATTATTGCTATTATTTTCACGAATAATTGTTATTTTTGGTCGTAAATAGACTTCATTAGGCATAATTTCTTCAGAGAAATTAGAAATATCCGTTGTTGATGGAGAGTCCAAGTTTTCACCCATTGCAATAGATGATTTATTCAAGAGTGGTGAGTGAATTTCATTATTATTATTATTATTTCCATAGGTTATTTTATTGTTCTGATTATATCCATAAGTGGGTTGAGTTAAATTTTTCACTGAAGTACTTTTAATATTTCTGATATATTTATAACTTTCATCTAAAATGTAAGATATGTAATATTAGGAGTTAATATTATAATATTGTTTAGTAAACGTGATATAAGCCTAGTAATTTATTATTAATATTATATTATTACTTCCTTGGGTTCTGAGAGGAACGTAGTGCTTCAGCAGTACGTCTCCACTTGGTTCTATTTCCAGTTGTCTACGTCTCCGTTACGTAATTTATTAGTCACTCTGTATCTAACTCATATTTTGTCTTTATTAAGTAACTCTTACCATTGTATGCATACATTTATTTTGTTTGAACTTGAACTGCCTGTGTAAAAACTATATAAGCGCAATTTTCTGAGCACTGTTCACTTACTGTGGAACTTTTTGTCAACTGACAACATGTAAAAATTTGCAAGTATGTTAAAACTTTTCTGTACTCAAACCTCATTATGTATTTAGGCTGTAAGCAGCTGATGAGAAGCCTACGAAATAAATGATGGTACCATATTATTCTGCACAAACCACTGTTGTTCTTGCTTTATTCAAATGTCTCCGTCAGCTTGCCCCACGGCTCCTTATCACCTTTCATCTCCTCTTCTCATGATCTCCTCCGTGTCACCCCGGGCACCGACGACCCACTCATTGGGATTCCACTCAAGCGATGGCCTGCGTTGCCCGCAATGTTATTCCACGGTTTCCTCAGTGAATGCCCTATCCATCTCCATTTTCTCCTACATATTTGTTTAGCAATTGGCTCTTGCTTGTTGGTTTGTTACTAGCCAGCGAAGATGGCAGCTGTTGATAAATGTCTGTGACTTGTTGGAAATCCTTTTCGTGACACGCCACTTTTCCAACCCGTATAAAAAACACTGGCTGACTGACTTGATATCGGTGTTGAAAATTCGATACTTGTTCTTCATGCTGAGGCGAAGCGCAGGAGATTTCCAAACTGGTTTGAGGCTGATAAAGGTGTATCTCGCTTTTCCGATTCTGACTTCGATACATTCATCCGTTCTGAATACTTGTGGTTGAAACTGTCTTTCTTAGATAGGCGAAGGAGGTAAGTTCTGTCAAATCGATCCCGTTGATGATGACTGGTGCTGGTTGCTGTTGCTGTTGGTTGATTGGTTGGCTGGTTGGTTATCTTCATCACCTACGTCTTCTCAATGTTCACCTTCAGTCTTAAATTCGTTACTGGCCTCTTCATCCAGTTTGTTGGTTTTCGCCTGCAAGTCTTTGAGTTTGTGTGACACTAAGCATAAATCATCCGCGAAATCCAAATCTTCTCATTGGTTCAAAGTATTTCTGGTTTCTCACACCCAAAGCACAGTCTGACGCATAATCCTGTCGACCACAATAACAATAATATAATAATAAATGAATTTATCCTAAACAATAATTCTGTGTGGTGAATGGAAGTTTCAACACTGAACAGATTGCAGCAATATATTTCCCTTTATAAATAAATAAAATATTAAAAATAATAAAACCACAAAAATGGAAAGTTAATACAAGAATTGTATATGTAATAATAAAGTAGGTAATAAGTTGCTGTTTATTTACAGATTATGAAGCAGGTTTATAAGCTCTTGTCTGACATTTATCTCTTCACAAAACACCTGCACTAAATATGGTATGGCTGGGCTTTTACACTTAGTAGCTGAACGAGAATTAATTCCTATGTAGCTTCTTCTGGTTTCACCCGAAGATATACATGGAGAAAGTTCAGAATAATAAAGAGGATGTTCAGTATTAGACAAGATGACTTTGGCCGATTGCTTGCAAGAATTAAAAAACCTATCCACGATAACAGTCTCGGTTAGTTGACTGAGAAGAACACCGCTTACCGTGCTTATAACTTTCGAATTCCTACGTAATATAGAATACTTTCTTTGAGAAGCTCAAGGAAGAATGAGATGGAACAACGAAAAATAGTGTGTAGAATTTATAAATTAATAAATTCTAAGAGGAGTGATTGAGTTATTCCACAAGGGCAATTCCCTCCTGTCAAATTTACGATGATGATATCGGGCTAGACTGAAGTGAAGTGGTGCAGCGTATTAACCCTTCACTCATTTGGGAAATCGTATCAGTCCCAGTTTGTGTCAGTGGCTGAGCGATAGAATTCTCACCAGCCACGCCACACGTGGTCCGGAGTTCAATCCTCGACCACTGATGCACTGCTTTACCTCGCTAAGCCAGTAGTAAGACTGGTAAAGAGGGAAGGCTGGGTACGAGGCTAGCAACCCTATCCAGTAGAATAAACACCACTGCTACTGAAACTTCAAACCTCTATCTTGAAGCCCTATGTTCCCCCGGAAACGTAAAGGAATAAAATAAAGCAATCCCAGCACTCAAAGAAAACACTTGTCGGCTGTTTCTGCAGTTATATCATTTCTGATGTGGACGTAGTATCTAGCTATCGACTGAGAGATATGTCTTCTCAGCAGTTCACTCTGTTCTTTTTTGTAGCTGTGAGTTATGGCCATTGAAAGAAGGAGATAAGAAAAGCTTAGTTGTCTTTGATTATAGGTGCATGCGCCCTATCTCTCATGTCAAGCGGTATATATAATTTATTGACTAATAGTAGGGTTCAGTGTAGTGTAGCGTATGGAAGAAAAGTCGATCGATGAGGCTATGAAGTTGAATCGATTCGTATACCTAGGGCACATGTTGCGTATGTCAAGACATCACTTTCTTTGACCAAAAATGTTAGCTTATATTTGATTAGATTAGAAAAGCGTTAAGGGTGATCAAACGAAAGTATGTCATCAACCCATGACGTCTTTTACATTTAGTTTTAGCCACGTAGGTAGGTGAAGGCTGCCTGTTTGGGGTCACCGATGGTGCTAAAAACCAGTGAATGAAGACTACTGGTGACATGGCTCAAAATCGTTCTTAGTGGCGCAGATGTATTCATTCTCTGTGCCCTCCCATAGCCGTCAAACCATCATGTTTTTTCATGTTACTATTCTTTCTCCGTTACATTTCTGTTTATGACTATAATTTGTCTGAATCGCTTGTTTTCCGTCTTTTGTCTATTTTTGTGTGCTGCATGCTTTGTAGCAACTCAGTCAGTCAGTCAGCACGCCAGAAGGTCTCAACTTCTTTATGTAACAAATCAGACGAAATATTTTCTTAGAAATCAACAAAATATGAGACGACCAACAAGACTGAAAGAGAAACGCAGACGAAAATGGACGAAAATAGTTAGTTAATTTTCTACTACAGTGGTGTCGATATTACGAGAATCATACGACTGAATCTGTTCACACAACAAGTCTTGTTCACGCCTGAAATTAAAATTAACTATATGACATTTAGATTATGAAGACTTAGTCACACACTTAGATGTTTCTTTAATTCATTGCTGAAGACTATAAAATACCTACACTGGGTGTGTCATCCTCTTTGGTACACACGTGCAGTAAGTAGGGCATCCTTAAAACAAAATAAAAACTACCGCTTCTTTCAACTTTAGCGGCAAGTTTAACTCTTAGACTGCTAAAATACTCCCTTCTTTAAATATATATAAGTATATTCCTCAGAAGTACACTCTTCGTTTTTGTTTGAATGAATCATAGGTATCACGAAATCGCGTTATTTTCACCCGCGCATTTCAAAAAACACTGTTTCAACCAATCACTTTTCTTTTAATTCCAATTAATTCTATGGAAAATATGATAGTAGACAGCAAAGAAGCCATTTAGACTACAGACATGAATGAATCAAACAATTGTCCTAAAACTAGTTGGCACAAGTCTATAGACTTCAAGGTTATTTCTTTTCATTTTATTCATAAAATGGGTGAAAATTGTTGCAGTTTGAAAATGCAGAAACTTCCATTCTGTATATATTTATTCTCTGGAATATGGTGACGTTTATTATGATATTCCAGATGAAATATGGATTTGAAAATCTAAATGTTGAATGCATATAAATTCACTGATATACAACCTATTTGATACCTTTGTAGGTGGAGAAAAATCCCTTTTCCTCACTGCAATCATTGTTACTATTCCTATCCGTTGAAATAACAACTGTGATGTTTTGCAAGAACCTGATATTATGCATACTGCTTCTAGCAGAAATCAGAATGACTTCCGTTTCACTGCATTTAAGTAGTAAGGCTTGAAAATATGTTTACGCTAAATTGAGTCTGAAACTAAGTGATTGATTTTCATAAGTGTTTATTCTATTGTAACATCCTAATATTCTTTCAATATTGACGGAAATTCTAATTAAGTGATTTAAAATTTTTTGATTTCTAGGAATTCTATTGATTTCAAAGTTGATCATTATTTGATTTCATTAAGAGAGCTACTGAACACCAGGGAGAAATGGAAAGTTGTTTCGTCCCTGTTTGGGACTCTTCAGTAGCCTGCATCTTTGGCTAAAACATAAGGGGTAGAACTTAGGAACTCTAAGTTACAAGGTGGGTGTATTGTCCATCCAACTCCTGAGACGGAATTCAGTAGCTAACTTCTTTATAAACGTAATATATAGCGTGACCACCAGCCAATACCATCAGCAACTACTAGGATAATTTTATTTTAATTTTACTGGATATACTTAATGAATAATGTTTGGTAATTTTTCTAGAGATGAGATTGAGCATGAGATTGAGCATCAATGTATTTAAAAAGGTTGTGATAAGTTAGAGTTTATGTATATATTGCTAGTTCAGACAGTCTGCAGTGATGCAACTGGTGCACAGATCACCTCAATGTGTACAGCAATTGGTGTCACTGATTACATATGATTGTCCTTAGTAATGTTCATTAATGAGCTGACATCAGTTGGAGAACCACTGGAAAACCTGCAGGGAGGAGTGGATAGCTATTTCGTCGTATTTTGCGACTCTTCATCAGCATGCACCCACTGGGCTTCCAACACAGGATCATCCGGTTACAAGACTAGTGAGCACGTAGACCATTAAGCCACTGGGATCCCATCTAATGGCCCATGAATTCTAACTTCTGCCTATTCTGTCCTTAGTTCGATCCCCAGTAGGTGCATGCTGATGAAGAGTCCCAAACTAGGACGGAGGAAACAGCTGTCCAGTACTCCCAGGTTTTCCGATGGTTCTCTAACTGATGTCAGCTCATGATGAAATCCTTCAACTAATCAAATTTAATCCTTACAGAATCCAATACTTGATAATGTGCATTAACTTGATTATGTAGATAGCAATTATTCACTGACACTGTCAGCAGTCTTAAGACAATCCCATAAATTTCTAATTAACTTCCCATTTTAAGTAGAAGTGTTCAAGGAAAATGCGGAAATCAATTTGAATTGACCATTTTATCGTTGGGTTAATTTCCCTCAAATTATATTTACTACAGTCGGAAGTGTATGTACAATAAATTCCACTACCGTAAAGCTGGGAAATTGGAAAATGATCAGCAGTATAGTTCGTGAAAATCAATAGAAATATGCTTCTTGATAAGACACAGGGGTAAACAGCCTATCCATTAACATTTCCCAGCTCTAACTAACCATTCACGTATAAGAATCATTTTCCAATCCGGAATGAATAATTTCCATCTCCTCAATACAGACTGCTGTTTAGATTTTCACCAGTAATCAAGCTAAATTGTTTATTTCGTATAATCCTGACAGTCATCACTTATTTTGCCTCCATAGAATGTAAACAATTTCTCAGCATTACGAAAAGGGTTAGATGATTTTGTAGCAAACGCCATTAATATTGGAGGTGTAGCACAACCTCCACTAATCCTATCAAAGTGGAAGTTTAGAAGGCGACTACTACATCCCAGTGAATATCATCTAGAGGTCTTAGCTGATGATTTACCGGACTTCAGTTCGAATCCGCTTGAAACTTAGATTTTCTTTTCAATCTGTTCACGAGTGTTCACTAACAATAAAGTGAGATTAGTAGAAATGATTCATCCAACAATCAAATAAAACATTTATAAGTTTTACGTATATAAAAAACACAAACAAGATATGTATGCTGTGAGTAGTATATAAATTGAAATGTAGCTTGTGTATGATCCCTGTCCATCCCAAGCAAAATACTAAACCGCATCATCCTGGAGAGAATCAAATAAGCCCTGGACCGGAACAAGCTGGATTCAGGAGAAACAAGTCATGTGTTGATCAAATCACCACACTACGGATCATCATTGAACAAAGTTTGGAATGGCAGTCACCCCTCTATCTCAACTTCATTGACTTTGAAAAGGCCTTCGATAGCGCAGCGTCGATCGAAAGGTGATTTGGCAACTAATCCGATACTACGGGCTGCCACCAACAACTATTTATCTCATCCAACAGTTGTACGACAATGCTGCATGCCAAGTAATCCACAACGGGAAACTTACGGAATCCTTCGAAGTGAGGACAGGAGTAAGACAAGGCTGGCTGCCTACTATCGCCGATGATTTTCTTGATTGCAGTAGACTGGATAATGCGACAAACAGCGGGCAATGAGGAAACAGGCATAAAATGGACACACACAAAAAACTTGGAGGATCTGGACTTCGCCGATGATATATGTCTGATTTCCCACAAACTGGAAGATATGCAAGTGAAAAGTAACAAGTTGGCAGAAGAAGCATCAAAGATAGGCCTTCAGGTGAACATAGAGAAAACAGAGGTGATGAAAATTCCTGGGCAACACCAACAAAAGCAACAACAACAGACAACAATAAGCATAAATGGAAGGAACCTGAAAGAAACAACCTCCTTTACCTACCTGGGAAGCATCGTTTCAACTACAGGCGGAAGGAAATGACGAGGATATTAAAGCAAGGATCGGGAAAGCAAGGCAAGTCTGTGTGGAGGTCAACAGCATTCAGTGTCAAAAATAAGATCCGGATTTTCAACTCCAATGTCAAGTCAGTGCTACTTTATGGATTAGAGACTTGCCACTGCGCCACGAAAGCCACTTCAAACAAACCGCACACCTTCATCAACAGCTGTCTTCGCTCAACACTACTCAAGATCAGATGGCCGGCCAGAAAAGATCAGCAACAGGGAGGGATCTCTGGGGGCGAACCAACCAATCAGGAACCAATCGTGCGACAAATTTGCAGGAAGAAACGGAGATGGATTGGCCATACTTTGAGGAAACCACCAAGTGACATCACTAGACAAGCCATTGCTCGAGTGGAAACCAAAAGGGAAGCGGCGAGTTGGTCGTCAGTGTGAGGGTGACTTGGAGGAGGTCATGTGAAGAGGAGATGAAAGCATGTGGGCAGACTTGGAGCCAGGTGAAAACTCTAGCAGAGAACCGAACGCGATGGAGACGAACGGCTGAAGCCCTATGTTCCTAGCGATCCTCACTCCGGATAAAATAAACCAGCACTACTCTTACTGAAACTTTCAGTTTTCATGCCTTATGAATGAAAAACAAAAATTATACTGGCAGAAATTCTGGTCCATGATACTATTTAACCCAGTTAACTGACACATTATCGATCCACATCACCGCTGAATGAGCTAAGTAGAGGAGAACTTGACTTCAATTACTACTGATTTATGTTGATGCAAGCTTCTATTTTTATTACGCATAATAATTACTTACGCCAACAACTCTCTGAAAAGTTCTATATACAAAAAGCCTACAAGGAATGGATAATTCTTCAGCTTTCAAAGCTCCGTGCCCTTAAACAAAAGGAGGAACCTGTATACGCTCTTTCCTCGAGGATTCGGAAGATATGCAGCGAGGAAGTGATTGGTGAAGAACTGCGTAATCTCCGAGGAACACTGATGGAAAGTGGTTTTTCGCCTAGGTTCATAGAAAAGAATCTCAAATCAAAGAAGACTTCCGAACAAGTCCAATCCGTCCCGAAGAAGATACTTCTGATTAATCTACAATTCAAAGGTGACATTGAAGCAGAAATCCTTCGTAAACGGCTCTGCAAATCTCTGAGGAAAACATACTTTGCCGCGAGCCCACGACTGACGTTTTCCTGCAATAAAGTGTTCAGGCAGAACGCGAAAGACAAGCTGTCGCATTGGGCCACTTCAACGTGCATATACCGGTTTACTTGCTCTTGTGGAGCTGAGTACATCGGCCGTACCATGCACCAACTTGAAAAACGCGCTCGTGAACACTATCCAGCCTGGCTAGTAAAAGGAGAACGAAAACGTGTATATAGTTCAGTGACAGGACATCTGGTCAATTCAGGACATTCAGCGTCATTCGAGAAATCCTTCAAAATAATATACAAGATTCGATCAAACCTATCAAAAGGAGTAAAATTAAGACATCTGGGCATAGCCGAGGCACTAGCTATCCAAAAGCTCAAACCCACGCTATGTGTCTAAAAGAAATACGTCCAACCCTTGTCCCTGCCATGGTCATCGTGAACAAGTAATTCTTCTGATACTGACTATCCCATTGTCTTTCTTATCCAAACTTCCTGTTTATTCATGTTGTTTTAAGTTTTTCTTAATCCCTTTTTATACTACCATTTTCATATCCGAACTTCCTGTCTATTTTGTCATTTTATTATTTCTACATATTTAATCTCTAACTGCATAAACAGTTATTCGTCACATTAGTTATGATCCCCCTAGATTTTGTTATCCAAACATCATGTCTGTTTTTTGTTATTTCTACATATCTAACCCCCAATGTGACGCTACTTTGTTTGAGTTTTATCAGTCCCCCTGTTTATTATGACATTTTAATTCCTAATTGTAATTTTATTAATTTGACCCATGACCGGAAATTATTCTGTAACTTTCCCACCCATTTATTATCATAAATACACGAATGTACAGCTGTTTAGTTGATGCTGACTTCGTCGAAAAAGAAATTTTCTTCGCTGCAACCGTCCTTTTTTGTAATAATTACTTATGCATGATTAATTTAAATTCCAGTCTACATTCATCATATTTTTAAATGAATTCACTAACCAGTGTCTTTGTTCTTCATAGGCTCATTCACTTCCCACTTGCTATTCTCATTTATCTTAGGACTGATATGGTTATTCTGCAGTATTAATATGCTTGAAGTATTGACTGTGCTAGGCGTGTTTTCTGTGAAGTTACCACGATAAACTGGTATAAAAGATTTTTGATTACTAATATTATTGTGAGCATTAGTAGTAGTAGTAATAGTATGGGGCTCCATAGTCCCGTTTCTCACATTATTATTATTATAATTATTACTATTGTTAACATTGACATTATTACCATTACTTATACGTTGATGAACATTACTTTATACGTGCTGTTGTTTTGTTGAGAGGTCGGTGAAAGCGTTTGTCCATTCACTACAGTGAATTTTGTATGATATCCGTCTTTATTAACTGATGATGGCGATGATGATGATGATGAAGTGATCGTTGAATTTCCAGTTCTTGGTAAGGTTGAAGCATTCCGGATAATTGGATTTAATTCTTTAGATGATGATGAGCTCGTTTTGTCCATCTTTTCTCCTCTGAAAACAAGAAAGCAGAAAATAGGGATGGTTTTCAATGGTTCTCTAACTGATATCAATCCGTGATCAACTCGTGTAAACAAAAACTAATCCCTTTATTAGTTTGAAGAGAGAAAGAACGAACATGTTTGCAGGATAATACGAGCTCGTTTTATTTCGTGGATTCTCATCAACTGCATACAACCTAAACAAAATCAAATTATAGGTTTCAAGAAAGTTGTTGAACATACTTTTTCATAATTACTTTGAGTTATAGATAGAAGGCATAAAGAACATAATTCCAGAATTTGATGTAGGTAAACAGATTATTCAGTGTCAAAAACAACTAATTATATATATTGGAATTAGATAAGAGGCGTAAGAGTTCAGATTTCTATTGGAAAACAACACAGATTAAATAGAGGCATATTACACGGTCAGGGTCAGAGAACAGAGTGAATTTACACATCTTGTGGTTGAGAGTTTAAGAGGGTTGGGGTGAATAGTGAAGTAACATTTTTAACTTAAACAGACAAACAATTAAGCAGATAATTTGAAAATTCCCATTCAGTCATAGAAAACAAAAGGCGTTCAGCAAAGAGTTACTCTTTTCGGCGACATCATTCTCAAGCTGTATAAACCGCAAATTTATAGTAATTTTTCTTGGCAACAAAAGGAATATTTCCAAAGATGTGTTAATGCAATTGTTGATTTTTGACAACAAATTATGTAATTTAGAAGGCGTTAATCGGTTAGAAACTAAAATAAAGTTACAAAAGTAGGTTGGGTGACGTAATCTAATTGCTAGGGTTCAATGAAAAATGAATGAGAGTCAAGTTAATAATCTGAGTAGAATTCACTTAAAAATAAACAAAAATGAAGTTAGCAACAGTCGTCATGAGGGTAGAGATTTAATAGAGGGTGAGGATAGAAAATAATGCAATTAAGAAACAGGCAAACAAAGAAGAAAGAGGTAAGACAAAATTACGTATTTGGTGTTGAGATAGATCAGGACCATTGTAGATTTAGTGACTAAACAAACTTCTTTTGTATGCAGAGTTCAGGATTCAATATGTGAATTGCCATTGCTTCTGCAGTTTGAAGAAATTTAATTCGTACTCTTTTGGCAAGATTCCCACGTATTGTGTAGATAACTGAGAAGTTGTTTTGTTGGTTTGCTTGGTGTCCGGATTCGATCAAGTGTTCTAGGACAGAGCTGTGGCGGGTAGATTTAGAAACTTGAAGGTCAAAATTGAATAGAATGTTACGTAACAAACGTAAACTCTCCACCACAAGATGTGTAAATTCACTCTGTTCTCTGACCCTGACCGTGTAATATGCCTCTATTTAATCTGTGTTGTTTTCCAATAGAAATCTGAACTCTTACGCCTCTTATCTAATTCCAATATATATAATTAGTTGTTTTTGACACTGAATAATCTGTTTACCTACATCAAATTCTGGAATTATGTTCTTTATGCCTTCTATCTATAACTCAAAGTAATTATGAAAAAGTATGTTCAACAACTTTCTTGAAACCTATAATTTGATTTTGTTTAGGTTGTATGCAGTTGATGAGAATCCACGAAATAAAACGAGCTCGTATTATCCTGCAAACATGTTCGTTCTTTCTCTCTTCAAAAACTAATCCTTACAAACCAACTCTTTAAAATTAATCTGATGATCGCTAGTGACTTGATACAGGACGGGGTTTCCTGGAATTCTAGTAAGAATTCATGACCAGTGAGGTCCATTCAGTCAAATGTGAGGATGGATTTCCCACCGATCACAGTGATTGGTGGTCACGCTAAATGCTTCACGAATTGGTAGAAGTTAGAATTCATGGGCCAGCCATTGAATCGTGTCCCAGTGGCTGAATGGTATATGAGCTTGTCTTGTAACTGGAAGTTCCTGGGTTCCAACCCCTGTGGTGGGTGCGTATTGCCGATGATTCCCAAAACTAGGATGAATTAGCAGCTGTCCAGGTACTCCCTGGTTGTCAAGGGTACTCTAACTGATATTAAATACTCAGGTATTAGTAAAATTTAACAAAAGCCAATTAGAAATTGCTTCCTTTCTCTACTGTCTTACCCGCGTAACATAATTTACTGAAACCTGCTTTGAAATACGGCATTTCGTGGTCTTCTGCCTTTGATAAGATTCTTTCTAACTTATGCATCTACTTCATTAGTTTTCCACTGAAATTATGTCAATAGACGATTTTTAATCCAGTGTACTAGAGGTTAAGTGAAGGATAAGAACCACATATATAATAGAACTCATAATACCTGCTAGTAGATTACTGACTCAGTAACTCTACTGCTTAAGTCGTGGAACGCATTCGATGTTTATACCTTTAGAAGGTTCTCCTCATATATTAACTAATTTAAAGGATTGTACATAACACATCATAATCAAACAGAGCATAGAATGGAAGTCGCCTCAGGTTCATTGAAAAGGACTTCGACAGTGTTGAACGTAAATTAATCTGAGAACTACTTCAACACTATGGAGTGGCTCAAACCTTTAGCAACCTCATTTAACAGCTGTGTGGTGATTATGACACTATATATCAGTTGATACAGAAGGGAAAACTCACAGAAGCTTCTGAAGTCAAGAGAGGAGTGTGGCAAGGATGATTACGATTAGCAATGATATTCTAGATTGTGGCTGAGTGGATCATGCAACAACCCACGGGGATAGAGATAAGAGAAATACGATCGACCGACAAGAAGATTCTTGGAGATCTGGACTTCACTGATGATTTATGTCTCATATCATACAAACTCGAAGATCTAAAGGCGAAAATCAACCAGCTGGCAGGGGAACCAACGAAGACAGTACCTAAAGTCAACACACAGAAGACAGGGGATGAACATGCCTAATCAATAGCAAAAGCAAGTGGCAGTCATAGTCAACGGGACAAGTTTGAACGAAGTTACATCACTCACTTGCCATCTGGATGGCATCGTTTCAAATGTAGCCAGTGGCACAGTTGAGAATGTGAAAGACAAGATCAGAAACATATGAGAATCCTTCATTGTTTTGAAATCACTGTGAAAATCTTCTGTACTCACCACAGAGAACAGTAATGTCAAATCAGCGCTTTTTATGGTTCAGAGTCTTGCCGCGTCAACAAAAGGCGACTGCAGAATTTCATCAACACTCGTCTTCACTTCATACTGAAAGTTAAATGACCTACCAGAAAGGATAGACAACAAGAAGTTCTGTCAAGGAACCAACGACCTGTTGCCTAAGAAATATTATTCCCAAAGAAGTGGGGAAGGACTGGCCACACGATGGGTATACCGCTGAGTAACATCACTCACAAGCCAATCCCTCGAGTAGAATCCGAATGGGAAACGGCGTGTGTGGAGTGAGCTAGGTTGGGTTGCAGAGGACAGAGTGTAATGGTGATGTGCCCTGTACTACACTCCAAACCCATGGGGATAATCACGGGAAGAAGAAATCAGCACGCGTTTTGTTATCAAAACGATCGATCTAATTACAATCCAAGTTATGCTAACTCAACAAATGTGATTAGCTAGTGAATATTTCATTCACATGACAGATTTGGATTAGTTACAGTTAGATGATGTATCCAACTGGAATTAAAAAAGGTTGATCATCACATGAAGTTCGAAAATTGGTGCAGATAAAAATAGGCTTTTTAGTGAACAACAATTTCGTATATAATATAATAAAGAATTTTTCATTATGCATTCTTATCATACACTATTTACTACTTGAAAAAGGGAGGGAAATGATACTTTCAATGTGAAACTTTAACAGTGACTGACAGGTTGTCATTTCTGTGTGTGTTATTCTTAGGCTTACAGACAGGTTGTCACTCTTCTTTTTTCTTCTCTTGTGCTGTTTCACCTCCTCTTTTTGTGCCAACAGTGTAGAGTGAGAGACTGAAGACAACTTAAATGATGCGTCATCGTAACCACAGAATACCATTTAACAAATGCAGAAGGGAAAACATATATCTGATGCAATAATAGTTAGGGTTTTAAAAGTGTTATAGGAAAGTACTATCCATCAGTGTAGAGTATAAATGTCATTACTGCATTCCATATTTATTGATTGTGTCGGTTGTGATAACAAATAGTTTCGTGTGAGTTTCCTCCGGTAATGTCACAGAGTGTAGGTCATTAGGCTTTTGTGCAACACAGTAAATTACACTTGTTGCTTCACTGGATTCATTAGTAAAAGACAGATACGCCCAGTCAGTCATACCGCCTAGATGTCATGGTTGTCATACCTCATAGCTGCTCATGATTAAGGGCACAGAAAAAGGACAGTGACAAGATTAGGTAAGCGACCAGAAAATGTAGAGTAAGCGCAAACACACTGACTCCATTATTGCAAAAGGTTTGGAAGGAGGGAAAGATGCCTACTGACTGGAGGAAAGGTCGCCTAGTGAAACTACCAAAGAAAGGCTACTTAGGACTCTGCAAGAACTGGCGAGGAATCATGATCCTGTCGACGCCAAGCAAAATCCTGAGTCGCATCATCCTGGAGAGAGTGAGGGACACACTGGATACAGAACTCCGACCAAAACAAGCTGGATTCAGGAAAGGCAAATCATGTTCTGACCAAATTGCAACTCTACGCATTGTCATCGAACAAAGCATGGAATGACAACCAAACCTCTACCTCAACTTCCTTCATAGACTTTGAGAAAACCTTCGACAGCGATGACCGCGAAGTAATTTGGAAACTACTCGAGTACTACGGCGTACCCCAAATATTCATCAACCTTATTCAACACCTGTACGACAATGGCACAATGTCAAGTGATCCAAAACGGAAAACTCAGCGACGCTTTTGGAGTAATCACAGGAGTCAGACAAGGGTGCTTATTATCACCAATGCTATTCCTAATTGTGGTGGACTGGATTATGCATCAGACAGTGGGAAACGAGAAGACAGGGATATCCTGAACCGACATGAGGAACCTAGAAGACCTGGATTTCGCGCGTGGATGATTTATGTTTGATGTCACACAAAATCGA